CAAGCAGCGTTTCCCCGTCAGTCACAGGCAGAAATTCTGAAACGGCCGGGGTGGAGCCCATCATAGTTTAGACGGTTTAGTTCGTACCGCCTCATGGGGAATGCTCGAATGCAGCACAGCCGCAGTTCCTCTGAGCGTCCACGAGGCTGAACCTTCGTGAGTTGGTTGGTGACTTCGGCGACAAGTACCCTGGGAGTGGCCGTTGTCGCGCGGAGATACCTAACCCGCAAGTACCGTCTGCGATCGACGGTGAATGGCATCTAGAATCGGCAGACAAGTAAGTCTTTTTAGTTTTTACACGGTTTCCTAGTACCGAGTATTCCGTAACTGGAATCTGGAGATCAATTCGAGTCTCTGACTTAGCGACTTTGTCCAAGCCAAGTGTGGAACGCTCGAACCCCGGTAAGAAGAAACTAAAGATGGTTCTTTGGCGACTGTCAACGGGCACCGAGTAGTGGAATCACTGGAATGGCAGGCAGCCACTGGCCGTTCCCGAGAGCCACATGCTCCGCCCCGGCTATCATGGCGCCTTTTCTTTCTCTTTTTCTTTTTTCCCCCCCCCCTAAATTTTCACTGTACTATCTCCGTAGTTTCTCTGTGTTTCTTGATTTTTGTGTTTATTTTCCTGCCTGGATCCATTCTGGTATTCAATAGTTCCAAAATCAGCCGGCACACTAGTGAGTGACCCAACCAGACTGGTGGATTGGCGGACACGAGGGGATAGAGTAAGACACGCCCGAATTGGTCGAGATAACCAGATAGAATTAAATTCGGCGAACCCATGGCGGGGAGCGTTCCTGAGGAAGCGAAGAAAGGGAAGGGAGAGACGGCGAGGGGAGTGCAGGCCGTCACCTTGAGCGTCTCGATGACGACACGACCTGGCCAGCAAACGTATGGGAAGCGGAGGAGGAGGGCGATGGACGGGGATGGAATGCATGGAACCAAACCTGATTGGGAACCCAAGGTGCTGCATCGGAGCTGCGACATTTGAGTGAATTCTGCATTTCGACACGCAATGGGGAGGTAATAATAATGTACACTGGCAACTGGGGAAATTCGATGCAATTCCTCATCTCCAGTATATCCAGTTATCCACCTACTGTAGTATAGAGTAAAGTATAATCAAGACCGATGAACTCCGTAAGGAATCTCGCAATAGTTGACCCGACGTGACGGGTGATTCACGATCGTCGACCAGGACGGCCAACTTTGATTTGCGCCCGTGGTTGACAACGGGGAGTCATTCTGAAACTGCGAAACCCACATTCCACTTGGGTTATTCTTTTGGTCTGGAGTACGGATATCTCTGGGTTTATAGGGATAATTCAGAAATGCCCATCAATGCAGAAAGAAATCAAATAAGAATCAAAATAAAATATGAATACCTGAAAATAAAATAAAATAAAATAAAATGAATCCAAAACTAGAGTGGCAGCCTAAGCAATTCCTTCTCTAGTCCCATCTCCTGATCCTCTTTTTTTTTTCTCTTTTTCTCTTTTCTTTTTTCCCTCCTGTGATTACCATTATCCACATCAGACTAAACAGGGGAAAAGTGGACCGATCTGACCCTTCAACCTACCCTTGGCGCTGTGCTCTGGGATGGGAATGGAAGAATACTTCCAGCCCTGCTCCATTCTATTTATTCAACTTCCTTGTCACTTCAGTCGCCCTGCTTCCCTGCTACCACCTCACCCGCTCGAACTTAATTAATTAATACTTGCCCATACTACCTCTTCCCACCACCATCGGTTTCTCGCCACCTCCTATCTCGCTCCTGTCTTTTCCCTCCATCTACCATAACACCTCATTCTTGTTTTGTCCTACCGCGGCCCGATTTCTTTCTGCCTAAGAAAATCAGGTCAGGTCAGGTCGCCGAAGAAAGGAATCTTATTCCGGGTCCCGCGCAATTCCTTTGCTGCATAGCCTTGACTCAGCCCTCTTTATTCCTTTCTTCTCTCGCAGTTCGAGACTTTCCTTCTCTTCTCTCTTCACTTTCTCTACTCCATCCTACGACCGAATTCATTGTCCTCGCTCCTCACCAACCGACTCTGGGATCATTTACTCTTGCCGCGACTCCGGAGTCGCTCCCTTCCAACCCACCACACGCCTTCACATGAAAATGAGTTCCCCCTCCGTTCAAGTTCAACCGCAACCCTCCACCAAGGGAGTCGTCACCCCCGACACCGGCCCTAAGGGCATGAACTTCGACATCGTCCGCTGCTCCCGTTGCCAGCGATCCATGAGTCTCGAAAATGAATCCTCCCCTGGCGTGGTCCGGTTCGGCATGAATTCCTACTATTGCAGCCGCTGTGCCTCCATGGTCGGCTTCATTCGTTGAAGCCGGGCCCGATCGTCGACAAGACCCACGCAAAGAACAACATCGGAATAAACATCATGATGAACACCTCTTTCGCCGTGTCGCTGCTAGCCATTCTCGCTACTATGTTCCACACGTGAAGTCGCCGACTACCGGCGTGGTTGATTCATACACTGGATTCTACTTGTTATTTCGGTCACTCGCTCCGACGAACGTCTTTCCCCCTCGACCTGGAAAAAGGAATTCTACCGACTGTGCTGGCACAGGATAAATCTTCGGTTTTCGAGTGAGGACTCGAATCGCCAGCTTGGCCCTTGAATACCGAGAAATAAGACAACGGATGATACTGCCTTCGCTCCCATTCATCACCGGATCCTCCCCAATATCTTCGCATGATCTCGAACCAGCGATGACTCCGACAACTGCGCCCGAGCGCTCTACATTACACGGGGGAGCTACCTGAGGGATTTGGGGGTTATACACCAACGAGGCTAAGCAGGATCTGACGGATCGGCCAAGGGTCAGAGCACTTCCATGTGACATGGGGGTGCGGGCGGGCAAGTCGCAATCTTGATTTCTCCGCCTACTTGCCATATCTGGATTAAGTTGATAGAAGTTTCGAGATCATCTTTTCTGATTTTGTTTTTTCACTCTCTTCTTCCCCCATGCCCTCTGAGCCCCATTTGAGCAAGCAATTTCTAGACCATAGGGCGCCTTTCTTTTGTATTACTCTGTTTAATACCCAATCATGTTTTAAGCATCAGCGAGTCTTGCATTGGCGGTTTCGAAATGATTTTTCAACGCAGTTTATACTTTTCCTACAATCCCGATATCCCGAAGTGAATAACATGCATAAACATTGACTTAAACTTTGAAAATGCCGCAAAAACCCAGCTCTATTCGAAAGCCAAGTAGAGTCCGCGTACGGAGTCAACACCCACGCCAAATCAGGTCCCAGAAGCTACTGACACTATTTCCCTCCCACGGAGGGCCACTGTCCATCGCAATTAAAACAAACCCACCGCGTAGCTACGAGCTACTAGCTGCTTCACCCCCAGATGATCGACCATCTGGGAGTGCGATCATCGGCAGCTGGAAAATCACCCTTCACCACATGTTTGCCTGTCGGAGGAAAGGAAGCCTACCTACCTAAGACGGAGTAGGTAGGTATTGACATGCACGTGCCGTGTTCCTCGTTTATTGACAGGCAATTTATCTACAAGTTGCCAGTAGAGCTTTCTATCTATCTATCTATCTACCTGCAAGTACGGAGCATGCACATCGCCTCGCCTTCCCAGGGCAATGTAAGGAGTTACCACACCGTCCAATGGCTCGCGCAAATCATCACTTGTTCATTTATGTACAGTCGGTATGATGTACTCCGTAGTGCGTACAAACTCCCCTATCGATGGCGAATCGTAAGATCCCTACCTACATAGGAAGTAAGCAGACCAACAGCCCTAGCAAGGCAACTAATTAATTCACCTGAGTCACCTATATAGTGTTTAGTAAGTATCCATTCCAATTTTCTACTATCTAACCACCTGACTTAGTGATAGTAGCTACTCCGTACAAAGTAGACAATAATAGAGCACCAGGCTCCAGCGGCAGCAACAAAAATCCAAATCCACCCCGCCCCCTATCAGTTCCACTTCCAGTTCCAGGCAAACCCAAGACGATGATTTACACCGGCTAGTTTCAACCCTAGCCCACCGACTAAAGCTACTTGGACCCAAGTTTCAGGAACGCCAGCTCAACAGCCCCGGAAACAAAGAAAGAAAAACAAAACAAAAAAAAAAAAAAAAAACCGAAAGAAGAACAGCTCAATGAATTATGGATAGCTTTATTCTTTACTTAGCTAGTCAGTTAGCGTTTACTATTTTGTTTTTCTCGAACAATGGCACCACCAGATAACTAAAACACACGAATAACTAGACAAGACCCAAATCAACCCAACCCAAACCAAGCTAACTAACTAAACCAACCCAAATAATCACCCTCCCCTTTGAAGCAAGCGGCAAGCAAGCCCCTCCTAGGCCACGACTACGAATCACGCCCAGAGGCAAATAATCTACCCCTCCTTGCCCCTTACTTCGTGCCGCCGTTGAAAACGAGATCGATTGGTCTGACTGCGCACGCCTCCCGGGTGCCTTACATACCGACAGGGGGAGAGGCGGTTGATGGATTACGTAGATATGGTAAATTGGGCGTTGAGGCTGGTTAGGTACGGGGTACTTGGGTGTATGGGGGCCTTGTCTGCAGGTGTGGTACGACGTGGTTGTGCAAACAGTAGGTACCTTACTACCTAGGTGGGTAGGACGTAGTACGTATGTGTACTGTAGGTATGCGCAGGATACCGAGGTTCTGCTGCCTCGATAAGGCAAGTCATTCCTGCGGTGGGCAGAGAGTAGATAGTTGGGTAGGCAGTGCACATGGATCGTTTATTCTCATCCTTTCTCTTTTCTTTGTCTTTGGTTTAATTCTACTGGATAAAGGGGATGCTGTAGGGCTTGCTTGGTCCATCAGGTACCTGCCGAGCAAAGAACCACGGGCGCCAACTCAGAGACCATGTCACGCCCTTTTATTCCCTTCTAATTTGGTTGCAGACAATTGGTAGATCGGCAGACATGTATGTACGCAACTGCCAACAGTTATACAAGTACATGTTTGTTCATAATACTACTCAGGCTGAAATATCCACACCCTCATGCATCGAGCTTCCTCTCCCCCCCTCAATACTCCCCACCACAACCCCCGAATCCCTCAACACAATCCTCACCTCCGGACAATCCCACTCTGGATCACTCTCCCTCATCTCCCTAAACTCATCCATCAGCAACTCCACGTCCCTCTCTAACCGCATCATCCCTCCCTCCGCCCACCCCTCTATACCCCCGATCTCCCCATTTCCATTGCCATTTCCATCCTCCGCCCCAGCCCCTCGTCCCGCAGACACACGATCACTATGCGTAACCCCGACCACCAACTCCAACGTCCTCAATCGTCCCATGCTCCGGATAATCTCGAGATAAAAGTGTCCGAAGTAATGCGCGTCCGCAACATCCACAACCATCCGCTCGATCAGACCTAACTCCAGCTCCGGGATATACGAGAGGACGTCTTCGCGCAGACGCAGGGTCTCGCGGTCGAAGGCGATGTAGATCGATTGCAATTTGAATGTTGGTTTGGGGATCGGTTTCTGTTCCTGTACAGGTGCAGGTACGGATGAATCCTTCTGACCTTTCGCACTGGTAATTTCGTCTGATAGACTACTCTCTGTATTTCCATCCCCATGCTGTTGCTCATGTGCCTCGTCCGCACTATTTCCTTCTATCTGCGATCCCGAACTCGATCTCGAATTCGAGCTTGTTCTCGATGTCGAACCCGATCGATCCACGGGCATCTGGACATCGTCAACCTGCACGACAGGGATGCGATGAAAATGCGGTCTATAGACGCGCAGCGCCTCGGTGCGCGCTTCATGATTCACGAGCAGGAGCGACGGAGGAGGTGTCGACGTCGAGAACGTTTTGGCGTAGCGACGGCGATGAATCGGGTGGACGGCGCGATGGCAGGCGATGTTCACCGTGCGGGGTTGAAAGACTGAAGGACAACAGAGGCTGAGGGACCAGATTTGTAGACGGATTTCGGCGGGGAGGGAGGGGAAGAGGGGGAATGTATTGTATGGGCCTGGTCCTGAGTTTGAGCATAACGAGGATGAGGAGAAGGGATTATTGGGCATTGGCAGTGTTGGTTCTAGCTGTGTTATTGTTGTTGACATCTTGAATGTGATTACGCGGGGAGAAGTGTGTAAATTGGCTTTGGAGGTGAGTGGGAAGATTCTGATTTCCGACGCACTTTTGAGGGATTCATTGTTTACCTAGCTAGTATTGCCGTTTGGCCTTTTGGGGTATAGTTAGTGCAGGGATGTAACTAGTTGTAGGAGTAACTAAGTAAGGTAAGCAGTAGCTTGAGGCGGCCGAACCATTCACCGGGCTTTAGTTTACTTTGCATGTTTTTCATGTAGACATGCTATTGTCATGTTCCTTGAGCGAGAAAGAATCTCTCTCGAAACGTGCATTTGATCTCCAATAAATGTTAGCTAAAGCTGACTACAAAGGATTGCAGCCGTAGGAAAGAACTATATTTCGGTACTGTTGTAGATCGGAGTTTAGCTGTCCTGGTAAGTGGAGACTAAGGCAATGGTGATTCCAGACATGACAGCTGAGACCAGATGATTGAGATGTCATACGAAGGCAAATAGAGCCTCAATTTGCGCATATGCATAGTATACGGCGCCTCGTTGTCCAAGCAAAACGCCTTGCCTAAGTATTCAATAAGCCGATGCACCTTCAGCATAGCACTGTCAAGGCCAAATTCGCCGGTGATCTGCCTAATGAGTATGGAATACTGAAAACTGTTATAGGTTTATCTTTTACTGAGTAATATTCACTCCGTAGCTGAGCGTAGCTTGAACAAAGATTAGGGGTGTAGCTCCCAACAGTAGCCATAGTGATTATAGGCACGAGAAACGGGAAAAAGAGAATAAGGAAAAGAAAGCCACCTGGCAGCCACATCAATCTGGTAACCTAATCAAGTTTATCTCCCCCTTTTTTACGACCCAAAAAACAGATAATAACACAACTACATAAAACCATCTGGTCGAACCTGGTTTAGTTTCACTTTCATTTCCATCTCATCCAGCTGTTTGGGACTCCACATGGGCTGCCTGAGAGAATTGATTCTCCCGATGAAACAGAAAGGGAAATTGAGGGAATTTTCCAGCCGAATTAGCCATCTTGGGTCGGTTTCAGGGTTAATTAATTTATATTGTAGCTTATTGGGGACTCGTAAGGGTGTGGATTCTTTGGGTTGCGCGTCTCGGGCTGGTCTGATCTGTCTTTCTGGTGTGATTGAGTGTCTTTATTTTATTTTATTAATTACAGTACAATCCTCAATTTCTACTCATGACTGCAGTGGCTGATGTCAAACAGTCTGTCAGGTTACACCGGTCAATGGGATTCTGATGTGGTATGCATATGACCATGCGAGCAAGCGTGGATTGATTGCTGGTGTCTTCCGTAGATGGAATCCATTCTTATCATCTGATCCCCCATTCCCAGCCATCGCAATTCGTGCGCGCCCTTGCACGCTATTCCCCCAGACATGCTCGAATCGGGAAAATGTCCGGGGTTTTCTTCCGACCGGAGACGATCTATCTGATTGACAGGTGCTCTCGGCTTGTAAGTCATATTAAGCACTCCGAGGCTCTGGCAGTGGCAGGAGACAGACGGTGAACCACTCGTACGGAGGTGGTACATACCGAGTATGTGGATCATGATGGATGATGCCGATCGAAAGGGAAAAAAGGACGACTGCATTCTTTAATGCAATTCCCGATCTAGATACATGGAGTTGGGAGGGCCATAAATATCGCATTATCAGGATGAAGTCGACATGCTCACAAACGGAGGGATGAATCCAAGAAATGAAAACTATGGACACAGCAAACGATCAATAGCGAATCTCGCAAAGCCAACCGATCGAGCTCGAACTAGCGGATGATCATGGCTTACCGGAGCCATGGCACGGTGGAGGAAAGGTCGATCAACCATTGATGATTAGTGTCTTCTCCAGACCGCACCAGACTATTGCTGCTCTACACATTTCCATCCCGTCCGATCCCTCATCGCCACCAACAAACGAGTCTTCGGGAATACCCGATGACTACATTTCCCCTCGCTCTCTCAAGGGGTTCGTGACGAGACAGAGAGAGGGGAAGATCCACCGGCGAATCTGCGGTGCGACATTCTTTGGATGTGTCTTTTGCCAGCTCTGGCGGTGTCTCGGGCAGCGGCCTTGACTCGTTGACAGCTCATATGCACGATGCCAGGATCATCCACTGCTGAAACAGGTTCCAAAATGAGGTGAGTTGGACGAGGAGTCTGGTCAATTTGCGATAAAAACTAATGATGATAATTAATCATCATGACTGAGTCTTCCCGTGGCGGTCTTGCTTTGCTTTTTTCCTCGCCCTGCTGCGATGCCCCTGTCTCATCTTGAAGCCTGGGATGCGCCTGTATACCTGCGTATGATATATACTAATAATAATTTCCAGAATAATTTCCTGCGGAGGATCCGAGGCTCAGCTCGCCAGTGGCCGCTTATCAGACGTGATGCATCCAACCGGCTGGATGATGAATCAATCCCTCTCGCCTCTCTTGCATCCGATGCGAAATAAGCAAAGATCCGCTGGGGCTTTCCTATTGATTGCTTTGTATTCCCTCCAATCACCGTCGCCGCGACGAATGAGGTCTATCTGGATTCGAAGATCGGATTGAAGATGATTTTTTGATTTTTGATAATCGGTCCATTACCATTAATATTATCATCACTATTTTTGATCCTTCTTACCATCAATCCGGACTGATCGCATGCCGATACAATGCCCTTCGGAAATGCAGCCGTGATGCTGCCAGAACAACGCAGGGCTGATGCTCCACTCGCCATCGGAGCTGTTGCCAGCTCCCCTTCTGTCTTCTCTCTCCGACTCACCCCCCTCTCGCCTCTGCTGTGGCTGCCCTGAGATCTGGCGGTGTAACCTCGAACGTGCCAAGAGTTACGTACTCGAGGGCTGTGAATGTCTCTGACTATTTCTGGCTGCTCCGGCTGCCTGTCCGCCTGTTTCTATGTCGGGTGGTGAGGGTCGGACCTTTACAGGCCTATCAATCGGTTCTGATCTGTCGCCTCCTCAGCGCCATGGAGCCCCCCTTGAGGGAAAACACGAAAATAAATAAAACATAGAAAAAGAAGAAGAAAAAAGAAAAGAAAAAAGAAAAGAAAGAAAGAAAGAAAGAAAGAAAGAAAGAAAGAAAGAAAGAGGGGGAAAGGGAATGCGAAAAAAAATGCATGCTCACGGTAGCTCATCTTTTGCTTTCTTTTTTCCACCCCTTCCTTTGCTTCCCTTCAACGATCCTCCCAATTACCTACCAACCAGGATCTTGATGCATGACATATCAGGCTGTTGCGCATCCACTTTGATCATATCCATCAGACTAGAGACAAATTGACACATCCCAGCATCGGATTTCTGTCCAGTCCTCGCCAGTCCACTTGTTCACCTCCAGAAACCCCGTCATATTATTCGTCAGCTGGGTGCATCAGTGGCTGCCGTCCTTTCGTTTTCATCTTCCCGGGGCCTCGTTGCACTATTACTTTTGCTCCAAACGACTCTCCTCCCCGACCTCGCTTCGTTTGTGTGGAACTGGGTAGTGCGAAGCCGATCGTCGATACTCTCGCATCGAGTTTGATCTCGACTTTTATTTTCTTATTTTCTTCTCTCGCTGTTTGTTTTCCCTTCGCCGGTTCCGCCTTCTTCCTCAGTGTTTAAAAAGGCGGGCGATTTAATTTTCTCTTCTCGAATGTGCCATCGGGTATACCGTCGTGCATGAGACAGCAGCTGTCATTGTCGTAACTGTCTTTGACACTCGAGAGACGAAGCAGGACCTGTATATGACAGAGTGACTAGTCATCTGGTTTGCTCGACAGACCGACGCTCGCTATCTTTCTTCGCTTCTTTCCTTTGGTTTTCTCTCTTGTTCGTGATCTTCAGTTGGTCCAGACCTTTACGTGGAACTCGATCTATTCATCGACAGCCTTTTCTTTGAAGATTCGACGATAGCAGATCTGTCGGCCGCTGTGATCTCCTCGATTCCCCACCTCACATCACCACTCTCCGGACGTCAGTCCGACAAACTTACTCTCGAAGGCGGATTACTGCTCTCAACACCATGCCCACTGCCCAGAAAGCACGAATGACAAAGACTCGAGGGTCAGAAGAGGAGTTTGTTCTCTTCCTCCAAGGGGTAAGTTGTTGACCCACATCCGTAGTTTTGCGAAATCTTCGAGATGGCATGTCTTACTGAGAGGACAGGTTCCAGCCCACTGTCGTTGGCAGGAGCTTAAGGATATGGTGCGGCAGACCGCGTTGCATATCCGACAAGCGGTGGTGTACGACGACAATCATGGATTTCCCACGGGACTGGGTCAAATCATCGTGAAGAATGAAGACGAAGCGTGGCGGACCTACCGTGCGTAATGTTGTGCAGTAACTCATAAACTCAAAAAGGAGTACAGACTGACAAGACCCTGCGCTTTCAGACAGATTGTCCACCAACGGCTGGGAGGGACAGAGTCTGGTGGTCACGCTGGCTCGCACCAGTTCACCCACACGCCCAATTGCTGGGCCGACTAAGAGTCCAACCTGTGTGATTCCCCCAAATTATGTGGCTGGTTACTCGACTCCCCCGCGAGTCACCCAGAACCTGGCCATGCCCCCGTCGCCCATGACCCCAGAGTGAGTACCCGCCTACACGTCTTCTATCTACGTCATGATTGTGAACCACGAAACCCTAACAAAGAACAGGCCGGGGATGTCTACTAGCCCGACATATCAAAGTCCCGAATACGGAGCGCCAATGATGAGTCCCATGGGGTTACCTTCTCAGCCGTTCCTGCCCATCTTCGCGGACCCTCTATCCCAAACAATCCCCGGGTTTCCGCCCTCTCCTGCCCTCCGGTCGTTCTGTGACCCCAATCTTGCCTTCGCCATTCTCCCGCCCTACGCGCTCTCCCCCATGCCTCATCCTCTTCGCGAAGCCTCTATCAATGCTATGCGCATGAACAACGGCACCGCCAGCAGTAGCCGTCCCAGCAAGCCCATGTACCGCCACGGGGTACCCAATCGGAACAAAACCAATCTCAATCCCAACTCGCCTATCTTCCCTGCGCCCGACCGAGCAGCACTAGGAACTGGCCATTCAACGCGGCCCACCTTTCGCCGGACCATCTTCATCCAAAACCTCAGCGCCACGACCACCAAGGCAGATCTGGAGAGCTTCCTCCAGGGCCCTAATACCAACACCAGCATCGAGCAGAGCGAGGTACCCATGGACGCTGAGACGGGCCGCTGCAAGGGCTTTGCACGTGTGACTTTTTACTATGCTGAAGAGGCTAAGCGCGCCGTCATCCGGTACCATAATGCCGTCTTCATGGGAGCTAAGATTCGTGTAAAGATCGATCGCAGCATTCATGGCGCGTACAGTTTGCCCTCCCAGGGCATTCCGCCGCCGGCAATTCCGCCCGCCACTCACGGTCTCGAAATCGCTACCACTACTTCCAACACTCCTGGCACTACCGTCGTTGCCCCGCAGACCCCCGTGGACAACAAGAGGAACGTTTCTCCGGTCATCCCCCTGGAGACTCCCTCCAACTCTGGAGCGCGAAAGGATTCCTTGCCCAAGGCAGATCGGTGTCAACCATTGGTCGTGAATGGGTCAGGGACCGGAAGGAGAGCGGTAGCCACTTGATCTCTCCCCTCCCTTTTGTTTTTGCTTCTTTGCCACAGTGGATTGCTCTATCTGTCTTCCTCCGGGCGAGGGGATCAGAGAGCAATAAGTAGTACAGTACATTTGAAACACCAACACCAGCAACATGGATAATTCAGAAATCAGGAATATGGACGGGAGGAATAGGACCGGACCTGAAGATTTCGACATAAAACATAAAAGCGGGAGCATGGTTTGATATGTTCCCCTCTTTCCTTTGTTATTGATATTTTCTTTTTCATTTGAGTTTGGTTTACTAGTCAGGGAACGCGGCGTCGAAGAGGATGGAATCACTTAGGTAGCTAAGTTCAGGACAGAGGTTTGTAGGTAAAAAAGAACCAATCAACCTTAGCTTAATACTTTCATTTCTTTTGCACTTAAGGTACTTCCAAACGTACACAGCCCACACATATCTATCGACTGACTTTCCTTACCTTGACCCTAATAATCTAGAGTAACAAGCAGATAAGCCTACAAATCCAGAAAGAACATAGAGAGAGAATAATAAATAAAGCACATCATCATAGAATTCATCAATCATCTACCGAATCGACGTCACCAGCACCATCAATAACAAAGCATAAAAAGTACAAATACAGAGAGCAAGACAAGAGAAGAGAAATCATCCCACGCCGAATCTCGCTCGTTTCCTGATTCTTCAGCGTATCAAGTCTTTCGGTTTTCGTTTTTTCGTTTTCATCTTTCATAAATGCGGTCGTTCATCCATCAATCAATCAGTTAGTCAATCAATCAGTCAGTTTCAGCCCGTTAGTAAAAGGTAGGTTAGGTAAGTAGGTATGGGAAGGGCAAGGGTAAAGTAAAGCAATAAATAGTACATCATGCATAAGAGCAGGGCAGGGCAGGGTAAACGGGAATAAAGAAAGAAAGAAAACAACAATGAACAATAGCAAAAAGATGCAAGAAAAACGCCACATTAAGAGTTCAAGCAGAGCAAGGTTTCATCAGTAGAAATGAAGAAAAGATAATCATATCATATCAAATCAAATCATGTCAATCCCAGTAGAGAAAGAAGTAAAAAAGAGAAGAGGGATGAGAAACACTTGCTTGCAAGCTGCTAAATATCAATATCAATATCCATACATCGTACACGTTAAATAATCACTTCTTTCTGTGAATTGGATCGAGGTTTTTAGGGGGAAGGAGTCCGGAGAAAAGCGGGTGAGAGGGAGGAAAGGTAGAGGAACGGAATAGAGGTAGAGGTAGGTTGGAGGGAGGATATGGAGGGGGAATTAGAAGCAGAGAGAAATAGAGAGGGGAGGAAGGAGAGGAACCGAGTCGAGACGAGCCCAGACGAGCTGAATCCAGCTGAGTCCAGCTGGCTGGCCTGGGCTAGACCGGGCTGAGGCTGAGCTGAACTAAACGGGTCCACGACACGAACTATTTAGCATGGTCGATCAGTTCGGCATATAATGGTTCCGGAATCTTTCGGACGATCAGGACGGTCAAGGCGATGATTTCTTTGGCGTCGAGGGGAGGAAAGGATCGGAGGATTTTGTTGGGACTGTGGAGAATCACGCGAAAACATGATGGGTCAGTTTGTGATGCGTGAATTTGAGGTGTCCAATTTGACTTTGAATTTTGGACTTTTGACTTCTTGCTCTTGCTTTTTGAACTAGTAGCTCGTGGCTGGAGGGGTCTACCCGCCGGGAGAAAGGAGAAAAGGGACAATAATAACATACCTTGGGTTTTCCAGGATGGTATCCCTCATCCGGATAAGTTGGGCCACGATACAGAGAATGTTCAAATGAGGCCCGTACGCAAAGAGAAAGTCCCAGAGATGAAGAACCTCCGGTAGGGGAGGCGTACAGGCACAGAGCGTTAAGACGGATGGGAAAGCATAAAGTTTGGCCTGCATGCCCTTGGAGAACAGATAAGCGGCCAATTTGGGTTCAACGATTTCCAGACATCGATCCACCAGAAGTAAACCGCGATGGACGCCGTCCATGGCGCCGCGGATGTAACCGGGACATTCGCGAGTGACAAAGGAGTGGAATAGGGCGAAGGCCTCGACTTCGCTGCGGGCGGCGTAAAGGAAGGGCGCGCAGAGCACGTTCATGCCTTGCACGTAGATCGCCGAATCGCTGGTGACGTAGCCGCCTCTGCTACTAGGCGTGGAATGAGTCGGGTCGCTGTCTTCTTCCGCGATGCTCGGGGGCGTGTTGATCAAGAGCTCCATTTCGCGTCGTCGCGACGACGGTCGGGACTTGTATCGATGTCGATTCTTGACGTCATGGAGCTTCCATGCGACGGCGTTGAGGAGTCGGATCAGGCTGGCCTCGGTGACGCGGCGTTTAAAGAGCGGATCGGTGGCCAGAGTCCGGAAGGTATCATTGCGAATTTTCGTATAGGCCGGGGATCGGCCTCGATGAATGAGGGAGAGATATTCGTCGGTCGGGACGGGGGTGATTTCGAGAAGGGCCAACCAAAGGTAGACTCGGTAGGTTGACTGTCGGGCGGTTAGTTTCGAAAGCGAGGACGGGTCTCGTCTCCTTTTACTGAAAAAGGGGAGCGAACGTTGATGTCATTTTCATACCATGCCATCGCCATCTGCTTCCACTCTCGTAGACAACACCAAATACCTCAACTCCTGCAGTCCCTCCCGGATGTTCCCTTGCTGAGGCCCGTCGCGCAACAGCGTCTCCAAGGCCGATCTCTTCAGGCCAAATCCCGATCCGGTTTTCCTGCCTGGTCGTCTTTGCGTTGCTATAGCCGGGGGGTCACGAGTGCTGGCATCGCTGTTGGATCTTGCACGACGATGGGTCCGTAGTCGTACCGGCGAGTCGAGATGAGCGGCTGGCTGGGGGGATAGGTCGTCGGGACCGACGGAGGAGCGCCCGGTTGACGATGCTTGAGAAGCCGGGGCGCCAAACGAGGAATTCGAGGAGAGAACCTGGTGGGACTGGATCTTTCGGAGACTTCGCATCGTTCGCGGCGAAGGTGACCCCGCCAGAGCGGCGAGATTCAGCTGAGCCTGCGTGGGATGGGGGGAAGATGATGAAGAAGACATGTTGAGTTGGGGCTGGCGTCGTCGAGATTTATGCCTGCATGAACCTGCCACAGGAACCAACCATCTTCCTGGTCCGTTTGGATTGCAAGGAGAAACAGAAGCGGGTCAACGAGGGCCAGGCGAGGGATTCATGAACCTCGAGCACGGAGTAAGGAGGGAGTTGTTTCGGTTAGTTGGGTCTCCTTTTTTTTTTCTGCGGGTTGTTCCCTTTAACGTCGTGTCGAAGTTGTTGAAGTGTCAAAATCTCGAAGTCCTTTTCTTTTTCCCTTTTCCCTTTTTTTTTTTTCTTTCTTTCTTTTTCTGTTTTAGTCTGTCGTTTTCTCGCAGGTGGATATGCGGGGACACGCGACGCGCTGCAGGCAACTGCAGTTAATTTGTATTAAGGAGAATGGGATTCTTTAGCTTGCAGTTGCTATGGTTATGGCGACGGCATGGAGCCGACTTTCAATAGTTTCTTTCCTTCACCGGCCAATCGGTGGATCCGCTCGGAGACAAGACAAAGAATGACTCGACGGACACTAGAGGGGCTTCCCTAGTGTATGCTGGAGGGTGTAGGTATACTGGTATAGACTGCAGACAGGAGAATGAGAATGTCTCTCCGGTATGAACTTTGAACTATGAACTATAAACTATGAACGAGAACCTCAACCCTTCCGTTAAACGCCAATTCCCATTTCCATAATCATCATGGCTCGTTCATGTCTCTCGTCGGGCATTCTCGGTCCCTCCCATCACGCCGTCAACAAATTCCTGGTACCGAAACACCTCCCCTCGCTTGCCTCCCATCGGTCCACTCTTCCCCCCGAAGACTCGGCGACCGGTAAATCCATTTAGCACCTCGTTGATTTCGCGTTCGGTTAAAGGTGCTTCCCCTGCCTCCGGGGCCGTGCGGAGAAGCGCATCCCGCAGCTCCGCGACGTCGATCTGGCCGCTGTCGTCTTCGTCAAAGGCAGCCAGTCCATTCAACAGCTCCTGTCGGGACGAGAGCGGGGCGAGCAAGCTCGATAGGATATTTAAGAACGTGGGGAAATTGATCGTTTGGGGTCCTCCGGGAGGAAAGAATCGGGATGTCATCGAAGCGTCCTGGCCTGAATTTCCATTTCCCCATTAGCGGCCATTTCGGCGAAGCACCTGGCCTCTGAGAAAGATTTTCTCACCGATGTTAACCAGCACATCAGCCACGTCCTCCTTATCCACCGAACCGTCGTTGTCGCGGTCGAGGACCTGAAACGCTTCGCGGATCTCTCGCAATTGCGCCGGAGTTAACTGGGCCGCTGCGTCGGACGAGGCGGCCATCATGTTGGTCGTCTTGGTACCTATGAGCGGCGACGTATCGGGGGAATTCGCTCCCCTCGTGGGCGATGAGGGCGGTTCGCGCGAAAACCGCGGCTGTGGGATCGGGTCTCTGTTTCGGGGCGACACATCTTCATTCTCGACGGTATATGACTGATTGAGCTTGCTGGGAGACTGAATGGGCGTATATCTACCGGGCGAGCTGCCCGGGGTCACTGGACGGCCCTGCAAGGGAGGCGAGTTGGGAGTGGAGGGTCGACGAAAGGGCGAAGCACGAGGCGAGCCGAAGGATAACGGCGAGGGCCGAAAGGGAGCGTTGGGAGTGACCTGCGGAGGGATCCCCCGGGGTCAGCGTAGATCGAGGGAGAGTGGAGACAGCAAAGGGATACCGACCATGATTAGAGTAGTAGATTATGGGAGCGGCGCATTGGCAGGATGGAATTGAGGTGAGGCAACAACAGAATACTCCGTGCCTACGGTGAGTATGATGATGTTTGCACCGTATGGCCGACAGACAAACAGACAAACAAACACAAACAAGGAAAGTCGGGTTGGAGTCGGCCCGACGGCGAGCACGTGTGGGGAAAGCAGCTGGAGGCAGAACAAAAGGGAGGCGAACGAGGGAATTTCGGCCTTCTAGAAGCATTCGGACTTTTGTCAGTTTGCTGGACAAACTGCCGAGCCGGTTCACCTTGTCTAATACAATAATTCCGCTCTTCTGTTGACCGACAATCCTTCGTGCTTCTTGTCTACACTCCGGTCCAAGCGCTTAGTCATCTCATGCAACTTGCTCGAAGCCCTCGTTTCAAATCGGCAGTCATTTTTATTGCTCAATCCTGAACCATTCAAGCATTCAGGGCGCTAGAACGAGGCTCGACAAAGTGCCCCCTCCCCCTGGTCGACGGACATCCGCTGGATCGGAATGGCCTCCGGGAGTCGATCTGGATCCAAAGGACTCCTGGTGTTCCCGCCGATTGATTTTCCCCGCTGTGGAGATCTGCCATCTGGTGCGTGCGGTTTGGAGGCTTCACTTCCTCCCCTTTCTTTTTCCCCTGAATCCGTCGATCAGCCTGCTCAATCCTCCGAGTCTCTCCGCCATGCTACTCTAATGCGGCGTCGTCCAATGGACTGACCGTCAATCCATTGATTGAATTTCACTCTTCTGCTTTTCTTTTCTGTCTATCTATTTTTTCGGGCTATCTGTTTCATCGAGTGTTCGATTGACTGCTTGACCGATCCGTGCATCGCCCTGGAGTATGCGGTGCCGATTGTCTTCGATCCTATCATCTGTCTCCGATTGCCACGAGCTCGTCCCCCAGTAATTGATTCCTTCGCATTCTTCCCCGAGCCCTTATCTACCCTCCGTTCCCCTCGCTCCCACCCCCCGAAAGAAGATGAGCCTCTCACTCCCGTTCCGACCCTCCGATGACCCTGCTCAGTCGTTATCCAAACCGATCAACCTCTCCAAGTCGAACAGCCTCCGCCGCTTATCACCGTCTCCCTCCATCTCGCACGCCCGCACGCCGAGCGATTCCCGCTCCTTCCTGCGTCAGCGCTCCGTGGAAAATGTCGCCGGCATATCGGCCCCGGGCACGAAAGCTCGGCGGCACAAGTCACAGTACCCTCGCGACTCGTCCGATCGCCATGTCGAATACATACTCGTCGCCTCGTTTCACATTGACCGGGGCCCCATCATGGAGCACCAATACCCGGCTCCCATCAGTGGCGACGAGAGCATGTTGGCAGAGCTGATGCTTCCCGATCAGACCCACGTTCGCAGCCAGGATTGGACGATCTTCTTTCTACATAAGGATACTAGCGCCGACGAGGATGACGACTCTGTGACCGGCAAGCCGAAGAAGAAAAAGAAAAAGAAGGTGGACCGATCTCCGGTGGACGGTGACCCGGAGAGCCAAGAAGAGGATGCCGACGAGGCCAGCGATGACGATGAGGAGAGTAGCGACGAGGAGGAAGGTGGCGAGGGCCCGCCTTTGATGTATGTCCTCAATCTTGTAAATACGAAGCAGGATAATACGGTGAAACGGTACGTGACTCTCATTCCCCGCCCGGTTGTGGCAGCATGAAGCTCGTGCATTGGCTAAGAAGATCAATACAGAGGTGCGGTGGTCAAGGCCATGGCTATCTGTACACGCCACTCATTTCTTCATATATATAAGGTAACCTCATACCCGTCTTGTGTTCGAGAGGAAGTTCAAGAGCTGACCCGAGGAATCGATAGCCCCTACTCCTCCTGGCATTGGAAGATTACTTCAAATCCCCCTATCCCGAAACCCTAGCCTCGCTGTACGATGCGGTGAACAACATGGACCTCTCGTTGATGCCGAAAATGTCCCTCCTTGAACGGCAGATATTGCAATCGAGCAATTCGAAAGACATGTTCATTGAGAAGTTCGAGCAAATGGTTCATCAGCGAATGGCCGACGAGGGGCAGGAGCCTGACTACGACCTTGAATCTCCACCGTCCCCCAAGAGGCCGGCACCGCCCCGGTACGCGCTCCCTCGCGACACGCATGAGTACGAATCCAAAGTCGTCTACAATGATATCCCGATCCCGGTCAAGGTGCCGACGGTGATCTGGCCCGAAATCGTCGGCGATTTTTCTTTGATCAAGCTCGTCCAAACCTTCTCCATCCCTCATGCCACCACGCCTCAGCCATTCCCGATCCATCCCCATCTCACCACCAGTGGCCCTTACACCCATCCGATCATCGTTCTCGTGAACGCAATGCTCACCCAGAAGCGGGTGGTCTTCCTCGGTCACAACCGACCCTCCGGGGAGGTGGCGGAGGCGGTGTTGGCTGCCTGTGCAATTGCGTCGGGCGGGATTCTTCGAGGATTCACAAGACATGCCTTCCCTTACACTGACCTGACCAAGATTGATGACCTATTGAAAGTGCCTGGCTTCATTGCCGGCGTGACGAATCCCACTTTCGCAAATCACCCCGAGTGGTGGGATCTCCTCTGCGATCTCCCGACCGGCCGAATGAAAATCAGTAGCCATATTGAGCCGGCGCCGGTCACCGAAGGGCTGCTGTATTTCCAACAGCAGACTGCTATCCACCACCACCCTGTCAACGCACAGACTGATCCCACGGGCGACAATCTGTTTATGGAAGATGTGCAGCGAAGCATTACCAATCGGTATGGAGAGAATGCAATCCGAGCAAAATGGCGTGCCTACATCACCAAGTTTGCGCGCGTGGCTGCCGCCTTCGAAGAAACGGTTTACGGTGCATCCAATCTCTACATCATCGGCCCCAATGAGGAGTTGTCGCCCGAAAGCCCCAGCGGACTCCAGGCCGATCCTCTCGACCCGACTACACTGCGAGGGCATGGCTACGTTTGGCCCGACGAGGGGGCTAAGCAACGAGAGCTCCTAGCATCCGTTTCGCGGATCGAGGGATGGCGGACCACGCGATCTTACTACTCGTTCATTCAAGACATTGCCGCCATGTATTATCCAGCACGGCCAATCCAAAAACCAGACTTGGCCCACCACCATGACCGACTGCGGGCTCTAAAGCTCCCGGCCCAGGAGGCAGGAGCCATCTACATCGCCTTTGCCCACGCGGTCAAGGACTATGCCGGCATCTGCCAGCTCCTCACCGTCACCCCGGAGAACCAAGCCGGCCTATTCTACCTGAGCATGGGTCTTTTCCACCCCGACCAGACCGTGCGCGAGGCGGCTGTTGATCTGCTCGAACGGATCGCTGCCCACCCGGCAGGTCGGCATTTCTGGGGCCAGCTCAACCGCTTCGCCAAGCTCGCCTTCTTCCGGATCAAACGAGAGCGAGAGAGCGCACAAAGCCCCATCTCGCCCCCGGAGACGGCGGCGACGGCGACGGCGACAGGATTCGGCGAACCCCAAAGTCTTGTCGGAGTAGCGATGGGCAACAGCGCCTTTCCGAGGCCAGGTTGACCTGGCCTGTATGATCGATTTCCCTTTCCTGAAGTACATTTCATTTATCCACCCCTTTGAATCTTAGCCCTCGACCCTCAGCGCCTATACATAACATTCTACACACATCATACCATACCCTCCCTTCTTTTCATCACGCCCATTCACTGCACGGATGGTGCCAATATCTACCATTCCCTTTTCCATTTCCACCAACACCCGCCTTCAGTATTTTAGTATATTGAAAGAATTTCAACTCGGATCATGATATGACTGTTTACGACAGAGATATATTTATCGTTTCTCTTTTTCTCTATCAAAGTACATCTTTATTTTTTCTTTTTATCTTCCTTCTGATATGTTTTATTTAGTTCTTCCATCTTCTACTTTTTTCCATGACTTCCCTTGAAACCTACCTAGACTAGGCTGGATATAAAACTTTGACTGAGCTAGTTTACAACCTCAGCGATGTAGCGTGATGACTGCGTTATAACTCGTACCTATTCGGGCCGCCATCGTCCATGGCCCTGGTCCAAGTCGACCGTCTCGGTGGGGTTTTCAAGGGCTTTGACTTGTTCGATCTTCAGTTGGCGGAAGTGAGCGTAGATGTAAAGTGAATTGATAGAACAAGCAATGAACACACATCAAGTTTCCTCGAAATTGGAATCATCGCATCCGATTGTGACGTCAGTCAGGTTTTGTCGTTATCTTACTCCCCAGGCAGCCTTTGATTTCTGGTCGAAGTATCTTGTCGGCCTCGATATTGTTGGAAATGGTCCTTACGCTGGCAGATCTGCGCCCTAAGTTTTTATTAATTACCAGTTCCGTGCTAATTATACCCAATCTATAAAGAAGTCATAACATGATACGTTACAACCCCAGAGAAGATTTCTGAAGAGAGCGTAGTACAAGACGATTAAAGCCATTGACCAGATGGTAAACAATGAATATTAAGTTTAAATATATAACATTAAAGTACAGTAAAGCTAGCGAGTGAAGTATCAGATAGAGCAAGTAGCATATATACTGTGTAGAAAGTGTCAAGACAGACAAGACAAGGAGAGCAGAACAGAACAGTATAAAGGATTAAAAAGATAAGGATGAACAAAGCTAAAGCCAGTCGCTGTCGTAACCCGTAAATAATAACCATGACCCTGGATTAGGTCCCATCGAAGAAAGGAGAGGATGTAATAACAAGAAAGAAAAGCAATATTAGAAAGAAGAGATGGGCAGAAATGGCAGAATCAATAAAAAAACAAGCACGAGGGGAATCTGTGACGGTCTAAACGATTGAGAAAAAGACGTTGTTGGAATGAATACAGAGAGTGTGTTGGAAGTGTGTAAGAGGGAGTGAAAGGGAGGTTATAGCAACCCAAGGTAGACAATCGCCATGCCCAAGGCAACAATATATGGTACAGATGGACCCGGATGGCCGACAGCCCACGACGCCGCCGACGTGAGCAGCTTATCCTCGCCCACGGTGATGTTGACATTGGCAAAGTCGGACCCGCATTTGCTATTGATGCCTTCGGCGGAGGGGAGGTAAGAGCGGACGAGGAACTGGCCGTCTTTCTGAGCAAAATCGGCAAAGACGTCCATGGAGGCTTGGAGACACTTGTTGCAGGTGGGAAAGGGGGCGGTGGTAATGGTGGTGTCAAAAGGTATGAAGTAGACGTTGTAGTCGGCCGAGTTGTTGGTGTTGGTGGCGGCATCAACGAAGCAGTAGTCGGTTGTATTGGGACTCTTGAGGCAGGTGGCCCGGTAGATGGGCTCGTAGGCAACCATATTAGTGTAGGCGTCGGTCACGATAGAGTTCCCGTCCTTGTAGTCCTCGCGACAGGCATCCTTTTCCAGGAGACGGCCGGCGAGGTCGGTCATATACGACGAGCATTTATCGACATCCACATTGCAGGAGAGGTCTAGGACGTGCGAGGTGGCCGTGGCGGAGCGGACGGTTTTGAAGAAGGAGTAGGAATTGCGCAGGAGCATGGACATAGCATGACAGTTGGTGAACGTGGAATTGGACAGAAAGTCATTGACGAATGTCTCGCAGGTGCTAGACGAGAAGTTGGTTCTGGTGCTGGTGTCGAAAGGCTGGGGCATGTCGTCGCTATCTGACCGTCCGACCAGACTGGATGGTGCATCATCATTCTCTGCGAGGTCGTTGTCTTCCGGGGCTATGAGAATTGGGAGCGATGCGGCCCTTTCAAGGAGACTTGGGTCTAGTTCGAGGGTGGAATCTCGGTGGATAACGTGGTCCCATTGAGCACGTTCCTGAGGCGAATGAGATACATCATCGGGATCATCGGGAACAATTTCTTCATCTGCTGAGAAGACTGATGGTAAAGAGCGCCGGGCAGTGAGTTCCGATCGGGCATCTGGAGGTAGAACAGATGCGGCGACAACAGAAGAAACCGTGAAAAGGACGCATAGAAATAGAAGGAGTCGGGAAATTACAGGATGCTGGCGAGAAGCATGTAAACTACTGGACGGTCGGGATGCCGACGCTCGGACGCAAGTGATCATGATGAACTGTAGAAATATTAAAAGAGCGACGTTGCCGCGCAATGGCATAACATATAAAAAAAGGAAGGTCTAAAAAAAAGGAAAGAAAAGAGTGATTATTGAAGGGGCATGGCCAAAATCACTGCCTTGCTTGAGGGCATAAGCGGTGGTTGGGAGAAACTAAACGTGGTGTGGACGAGAGTATAACGCGTCCATCCGGAACACAAGGAAAAGGCACCACGAAAGTGAGAAAGAGAGGGCGAGAAAAAGGAAGAAAGGGGGTGGTATATACAGAGGAGAGGGTTGAAAGAGAAAAAAGGTCCTGAGGCCGTACAGGAATAAACATGGAAGAAAAGATCCGGTCAAGCCAGTCAGGGAGACTTTCTGGGTGGTAGCGAGAGTGTTCTGGACCGGGCCAAGCAGCCTCGGGCTGGGATTCTATTCTTAGAAGTGATACGATTGGTTGTGACACTAGCTTCGCTGCTAGTCATGTCGGACTAGTCGTGTTTTCATTATTCATGCTAGCAGGAGACGGGCGAGGAAGTACGGAGACATGCTAAGACGGTAACTATCAGCAACGGTTCGTAGGGTCATAAGAAAGAGATAAAGAAAAGGAGATGACAGTGACAGCCGTCAGCAGAGACCCGAGTGAGACCATCGCATGACACAGACGCTCGGACAGGCTGAGGGGCCGCACCCAGGCCCTGGAGGCCAAGACTAAAAAGAGAGGCCGGAGCAAAAAGAAGATTAAGTTGGAAGTTGAAAGGGAACGACGAGAAACGAACCGAAGCGCCCGGATCCACTTTGTTCCTGTCAACCAATCATCAGGAAACGGAGGTCCCACGCGTTCCCACTCCTGCGCTAAACCCCATAGGGACATGCTTACATCATCCGACCTCGAACGAGCCAAGATCTCCTCGATCTGCTATCTGCTATCGGCTATCACCTCCATCGCTGCCCCTCGTTCTCCATCGTCGTATATATCCCGGCCCTACACCTCAATTCGGCTTTTTCAAACTTGTATATAGTACCTTGCAAATTGTACGTCATGTCTGCAGAGCCATTGGTCCCCGAGACGAGGGTCCTGGCTGTCGCAAGTCATGTAAGTCAAGCCGATCTTTTGATACCCCACATTATCATTTAGCTGCTACAACGAGTATAGGCTGATGGTTTCATATAGGTGGTCTATGGGTATGTCATCTGATCCAAGTTGCAACACCGATTATCCATATCGAGACAGGGTTCCCTCTGCTCTTTCAAGGGTTCTCTGACTGGTCTATGTGGCACATGGACCTTGCGATAACTACAAACCTTTGCAAACTTCCGGGCTTTGACTGACTGATCCAAATCCCAGCTATGTCGGCAATAAGATGGCAACGCTTGTCATGCAATCCTTGGGCTGCGACGTCTCCCCCTTGAACACGGTTCATTTCAGTGAGTCATCGCGCCTGTCGCTTGGCCGGCATCTATCAACACGTGCGAACACTCTAACGGTCTTTCCATGGTAGGTAATCATGCTGGCTATCGACAACTTAAGGGAACCAGAGCTACTGCCGATGAGATTACTGCTCTCTACGAGGGTCTATGCCAGAGCCACCTGACGGACTTCGATGTCATGCTGTCGGGATACACGCCCAGCGCCGCCGCCGTCGAGGCCGTCGGAGCCATTGGACAGGATCTTCAGCGCAAAGCCGAGAAGAAGCCCGGTTCTTTCTTCTGGGGTATGTTTGATGTCGTTCCTATGGGCCGTTCTCATCGTATTAACCGCCATTCCAGTGTTGGATCCCGTCATGGGGGATCTGGGTCGCCTCTACGTCAATGACGATGTGGTCCCGGCCTACAAGAAAACCATCCATCATGCCGATTTGATTCTCCCCAATCAATTCGAGGCAGAGTAAGTCGGACGTGCGAGCTGTTGCTTTCTGCGACTCTTCATTAATGCCATACCTCGCAGAGTTCTCTCCGGGATCAAGATCACCTCTCTCAGCACCCTTGCCGAAGCCATCACCGCTATTCACGCAACCTACAACGTCCCCCACGTCATCATCACCTCTGTCCAACTATCCAAGCTTCCCGAATCACCATCGGTAGCTGCAGCACCTTCCCCCAACAACTTGACTGTCATCGGCTCCACCACGAAATCCGACGGTTCGCCACGGCTCTTCCGCGTCGATGTCCCTGCTATAGACTGCTTTTTCTCCGGAACTGGCGATATGTTTGCCGCTTTGACCGTCGCCCGGCTGCGGGAGGCGGTCTTCGCTGCGGGTCCTGATTTACGAACAACCAAGTCCTGGGTCTCGCCGGACGATGTCAAACCTGCGGACCTCCCTCTCGCCCAGTCCACCGTGAAAGTACTAGCAAGCATGCACAGCGTGCTGGAGAAGACCATGGAGGCGCGCAATGCCGAACTGCTCGCCACGGCCGGCCAGGTCGACGAACAGCTTGGCGCGGAGGACAAACAGAAGCAGGAACATCTACGACACACCAAGGCCGCTGAAGTTCGACTGGTGCGGAACGTGCAATATCTGCGCGATCCGGTGGTCGAGTTCAAGGTGCAGGAATGGAGGACGGAGGATCTCCCTGCGCAGCTTCGATAAACTGTCATATCCTTTCGTCAATGCTTGTTTACTTGGTAAATGATGTTTAGACCATTAAAATAGACGATTGAATGTATGATGAGCTATAGCCTTTGTTTTTAGTCGAGTCATGTTCATGTCCAGTCAGTGGAATTTTGTCATTATTTTATGTATATAGCCAACCAACCGTCCCAAAATCGAATGTCTTGCATGCCATAAAATCATTCATATATCTTCATTTATCTTGCTCCCCATCTCATACCCCATCTAGTCCATCTAGTTACCAGTGCTTCCAAAGCCACCAGCACCACGCACGCTCTCCTCCAGCTCTTCCACAACCATAACCTCAGGGGTATAGATCTAGAAGAGAATGCATCAGCCAATCCATTCATCCTGAAATGTCCCCTCGACACTTCTTCGGCAACAAAAGAGCCAAACAGGGAGGCAGAAAGCAAAAGAAGGAACAATAAACTCACCCTCTCCAAAACCAACTGCGCAATCCGATCTCCCTCGTTGATAGTGAAATCGACATCCGAGAAGTTGAACAGCAACACCTTCACCTCCCCACGGTAATCGGCATCGATGACGCCGGCGCCGGTATCGATGAAGTGTTTCGCGGCGAGACCGCTGCGGGGGGCGACACGGCCGTCTACATCAAATCATAAGAAATAACCTTGTTAGCCTCGTGTTCAGGTTACTTCTCATTCAAGCCAAGCCAACACAACACAGATCTTCCTTCTCTCTCAATACATAACCCTCTTCTCCCCAAACCCACAGGAACAACAGGGCAAAAAAAACCCCAACGGTACAAGGCAATATATCAGGGACAAACTTACAAGTACCCTCCGGCACAGCAACCGAGAGACCCGTATCGACCATAGCCTTGCCCTTGGCGGGGATGACAGTCGCCTTGGCGCTGTAGAGATCGTAGCCGGCGGCGAAGGCGGAGCCGCGAGTCGGGGCACGGGCAGTCTCGGTGAGTTTCTTGACGAGAAGGGGAGGGAGACGCTGGGTGGCAGCAGGAACGGTCATGTTGGCGGCGGCGGTGGTGTCGTCGGTGTTAGGCTTGGTGCGTTTGGCGAGGGGAGAGGCGGGGAGGGAGGGAGGTTGATGCGTAGTAGTGGTGGATTCGGCGGTGGTGGTGGGAGGGGGAGTAGACTCCTTGGTCATGGTATGTCTTGAGTGAGGATCGGTAGGGAAGATAGGAAGAAAGAATGAAGGAATTGAGATGGGTTGAATTGAATTGCGGTCAATGGGCTTTTTTTTGCCCTTGCTTTTTTTTCTGGAGGGGAAGACGCGTCTGGCGGTGAGACGAGCACCCGCGTTTAATGGGTGGGGCTGCTGTTGACTTACTCCAGACCTTCATGGATTCACTTTTGCTGGTTCCAAAGATGGTCATTGGGAGGTTTACTTATGAATACTGGATTTCGACTTGTTTTTTGTCTTCTAACTCATGCAGAAACCCATTGATGACAATCGTAAAATTGGGTAGTTGATTGTCGAGAGTTTAACCCTAATTAGGAAATGTAATGGAAGAGCAAGTCGATCGTGGATATCGAGTGACCATAAGTGATTCCTGATCCGAATCGTTTGGCATGGCGCGCCTTGCTGTTTACTGGTGAATAGAAGTTGTTGAATCGAGTGCGTCCAAATCAATATACGCGGACGTGTATAGATTAGGCTATTGTGGACAACAATAGTTCACAACCCCAATGTCCGAATATTTCGGGATTCGGATACTCGATAGATTATTGCTCCGGGTGCTCTGCTATATTTGTATATTAAGACCACTTCTCATTACAAAATCTACTTTACGGAATAACCAACAGCCTCGCCTCCTAAAATGAAACGGAGAACTCGCACACTAGAACTCCGATCCGATGCCGAAGGATCTAGCCCAGTCCATGGCATCCATAGCACTGTACATATGAGGATAGTATGGCTTAGGGCAGTGCGATAGTCTCATACATCCCACATCATGTTGGTTCGAGGTTTGGCCTCCATCCAGCGGCCGCACAGACATAGTAATGTTGGTGTCATACTAGTACAGATCGACAATATCCAATCAATATCCAACACCCCCAACAAACTGTTTAGATGATCTCCCAGGATCCGGCTAGAGGCCGAAGAGCCAATCTCCGTGTCAACTCAGTGTTGGTTGATGGATTCATCTCCATACTCCAGATTCTACGTAGTATCCCTACGGCCTACGAGGCCTCGACCCTCGAGTCAATAACATGAACGATGCAACCAATCGGTTGAGACCGAAGAGCGTTGCTATTGTGGCTTTAGTTAGTGTATAACACCAAGGACCCCAACAAGGGCTTCTCGTAGCAAACAAGAGGCATGTTCTCGGGTTTGTTGGGTGACTCGTCGAGTCACGAGGCTGGTGCTAGTCCATCGCCTGGTCGAACTTCCGTGTGTTCAATGGGATAACCCTCAAATGATTACCAGCTCTTTGGCCAATCTGCCGCATGCTTATAGACAAGACACACATGTTCTTGGTTGAAGCAGGGCCCACAATTGCTAGATGCCAAACTCGGACGTTGTTCATGTGAAACGTGTTTGCGCCAGATCTGAGACCGCAAGGGGACATTGGCCACGAAAGCCATCAGAATCTGTGTTATCTTTCAGTCCCGACTGGAAGGGCTCGAATTCAGGTGTCTGAAAGCTTAGTTGTAGCGCGAGAGTCTAGAATTGGGGTGTCATTGGGTCACCTGGATCCAGCAGTCTGGTAACATGGTCAATGCTGCCAGAGGAAGACGACGGGACTTCGTTGCGATTGTCGTTGCCGTGGGGTCTCCGCAACGTGGTCGTAACTGTGCGTGGCCACTTCCGATGCATACTTTATAGATCGAATATTCTGATTCCCCGAGTGCCATTGACGATGGTTGAACCAAGACACTGCAAATCGACAAGTCGGTCCGTCCGGGATGACTAAGGCCCCGTACGCCGTAGACCGAGGCGCCTCCCCGCAAATGCCAGACAGTGGCTGTTTAGCCTCGGTCCGGTGCGACGAGCTGAACAGAGCATTGCGATCGCCCTGTTCTTATTACCGACAATCCACCTGTCGTCCACCATGGTTCTACTGGTCAACCACAACTCAAGTACCCTACTTACATATCGATAATATAATCTACACCACACCGACTCGAACTTGTCAGATACGCCACCCCCCTTAACCCCCTTGTTCGTCATGGCCGGAGCCGTCCGTCAACCGATCGACATCCCTTCGCTAGAGCGCTATATCGACACAAATGTGCCAATTATAAAGACGCCGCTGGAGGTGAAACAGGCAAGTGCACACACGGTCAATGCGGCGCGATGACATCCAGAGCTCTGGCTAATCCCCGGCTCAACAGTTCGGTTTTGGACAATCGAATCCCACCTACCAGCTGATCGCCGCCGACGGAAGCAAATATGTGTTGCGCAAGAAACCTCCCGGTCAACTGCTGTCGAAGACGGCACATAAAGTCGAGCGCGAATACAAGATCATTCATGCCCTAGAGCAGACCGATGTCCCCGTACCGAAAGCCTATTGTCTATGTGAGGATAGCAGCGTCGTTGGGACCCCCTTCTATATCATGGAGTTTCTGGACGGACGAATATTCACCGATCCGGCCATGCCTGAAGTTGGTGCGGAGGAGAGAAACGCATTGTAGGTCACGATTGAAAGGGAAAATCATTTCCCCCCCTCCCTCATGCTGTCCCTCCCCTCCTCTCCCTGCCCTCGTGACTCGGTACTAAAACCTGGTAATTCCTGCAGATGGAAAGACGCGGTCCGCACGCTCGCCAAGTTCCACCGAGTCGTCCCCGAATCGATCGGATTGGAGAAGTTTGGGAAGCCATCGGGCTTCTATGACCGACAGATCGCCACGTTCACGGCGGTCTCCCGGGCACAATCACAGGCGGTGGACGTGGAAAGCAAGGAGCCGGTGGGCGAGCTCCCGCACTTCATGGACATGGTGCAGTTCTTTTCCAACAAGGCGACTCAGCCGCAGGACCGCGGCAGCCTGGTGCACGGCGACTACAAGATCGACAACATGGTCTTCCACAAGACGGAGCCGCGGGTGATTGGCATCCTGGACTGGGAGATGGCGACGGTGGGCCACCCGCTGTCGGACCTGTGCAATCTCACGAGCCCGTATTTCCTCGACGGCACGGATCACAAGACCGACGAGTTCCAACCCAACGCGATCCCGGGCCTGCCCACGCGTGATGACTGCGTGCGGTGGTATCGCGAACTGGCCGGTTGGGACCCGACCCCTGATATACTTTGGGGCGATGCGTTCTTCTCGTGGAGGAGCTCCGTGATCATGCAGGGTATCAAAGCTCGGTATGCGCTGAGGCAGGCTAGCAGCGCTAGGGCGCAGGAATATGCCCAAAAGACCGTCCCGTTTGCTTTGGGGGCGTGGGAACGGGTCCGACAAGTGCAAGCCGCATTGCCCCAAAAAGGCAAATTGTAAAGGTTACTAGCATGTAGTTTGGCCCCTCCTCTTTTTCTTTTTCTTTTTTTATTTTCAAAAGGAGGATGAAAGGATGAAGTGGGTTAAGTGGAGTTAGGATTCTATACATTTTTTTACTTGTTCAGTGCCTGGTACCGTCGAGTTTTCATACTAAATATGGCAAGCATAACGATTGACGCAGGATTTCTTGAACCGTTGAACTCCCGCCCCGGTGGATATGACTCTTAAATCTCTTTAGATCTTCGGCTACTCCGTGTCATCCTGCTCATCCTGATAAATCAATTCAATTACCTAGCATTGTTCCTTCTTAGAATCTTAGGTGACCGGAACCGGATCATCTACGTAATTAAGAGCAAAACATAAATTATAATGCAAAATAAAAAAAAATTAAAAAAAAAGCAAAAATAGAAATAATGATCACCCAAATTTTGCCCGCGCCGGGGCCAGAAGACGGCCAAATTTGATAGAGCGTAAGCATGCCAGTTGTCATGACTAGGTAGCAAGGGGGAGGGAGGGGCCAATTTGCCCGGACTCCCGAGAATGTAATCTGTATGCAAGTACGACGTACTCCGTACGGAGGGGGTGAAAACACTGGGTACAACTAGGTACAGTATGTACTGTAGGTAGGTAGAAGCCAGAAGTCAAGACCCGAAAAGTACCTACCTAGCCAGATACCACCGAAACCAGCTACCTCGGTCAGCCCAAGTAAGGGCAGTCTCATTTGGAATGGGAATGTCAATGAGGGCAAATCGACGAAGACCTATGAAAAGGGCTACAGGAGATGCAAATGTCTCGTATAGACATACGACACCGAAATATGCAACTAGGAAGAAGCCCGGACCAGTGAACGGTCACCAGCGCAGTGTCAGCATTGAGCCGCCTGGATACAAGATAATTGGGTGCGGCTCATATGAGGCTTTTCTTTTTCTTGTTTTTTTGTTTTTTCTTTTTTTTTTTTTTTTTACTTGTCGTGCTGATTGCTCGCGTTATGGTGCTGTGACTGTGTCTTCCGACACCCCCGGCCCCTTTCCACTCCTTGGTGCTTTCTTGGTCGCTTACAGAAACGATGGAAACATCGAAAATAATTGTCGACAGAATAAGAGGGAGAAGAATTTTTCACTTGGCCCTCCTAACCTCACACGATCCTTTTTCGGGCCGTGCACTTGAAGGATTCGACGACCTATGGAGTACCTACCTAGTTCTACCTGGATAAAAGAGACTCCAACACTCCACAGCCCACATAAGAATAATGCAATCCATATTACGAAGGACCCGCGTCATGCCCCTGGCCCCCGAATCGAAGGACGAAGATCCAAGCAAACGAGAGAGAGAGAGGGCCTGAGGGGTGAAGGGAGGCCGGGATGGAAATGTAAGAAAATAGAAAAATAGAAACAAAAAAAGACAACAATCGTCACGGAACACTGACCAGACAAGAAAGAAAGAAAAAGCAAAAATAAGCCGTCCGATCGCGAAGAGAGGAGAAAAGAGATCCCTGCAGCCTAGCGGCTTATTAGCGTTTTACGGCTGTCGAACGAGTTAACCCAGGTAACGAGTTCAACCAGCGCATGGAAGGTGATTATGATGATCAGCCTACGGCTTACTGGAAAGAAGGCTAGCTTTGCTGTAGATAATGTCATAGCATCTTGTTGTTCCCGGACCGCCGATAGCGTGATTGACTCGTGAACACCAAATGGTTACTTGATGAATATCATACTCCGTAGAATTAATATTAATATATTAAAATAGTACTCCCCCCCTCTCTGGTGTAGAGTGCTCGGTACGGTAAGATGTCTTCGGCGCGGGCCGCTTGCTACCTTACCTTTGGGGGGAAGATTGGGGAATGGTCGACCACAGGGCTATCCACGGAAGGGGGCTCTACGGGGGTCATCTCAGCAACTTACAGTAGCATTTGTACGTATGATTTTATTTGCTATGATTTTATTTCTACGCGGTATATTCGTATTCTTCACCTTGACGGGTTTCCAATTTATTTAAATTTCGGCGGGATTCCGATCGTGTGCGCAAAATAAGAAGGATAATCAAATTAGAATGAAGATCATATCACAGACCAGGACGGTGGCTGACTGATCGTAGGATGGACATAACTTTAGAATTAGGGCAACTTTGGGCAACGACCATCAACTTTGGCGTCGAACAAAGGCTTACACCGTACCCAAAGAAAGAAAGAAAAACCAGAGAGAGAAGAAGAGGGGGTGAAGGGTTACAGAACCAGTCGAAACCCCCCAGCCAAGAAGATTGTAGCCCCTCCGGAGGTTGGACAAGAGGAGACACACCCATGTTCTACAGCATACAGGCTGCTAGGTTTAATATCCACACTTGCAGCAAGGAGGGTGAAGAGGGGGGCAACAACACTGCCATGGGCCATGGGGTCATAAATTAATTATATTGGGCGTGAAGTGTGAACGGGTGAATTGATCCGGGCAAACATTAGGGTGTAAGCAGGATGTGGAGAGCTTTGGGACTCTCCATTCTGCATCCACATTTTAGTTGGTATCATGTCGGCCGCTAGTACTTTTTATAAGCCGGAGTCCGTCAGGTCTGGAGCAGTACCTATCCGTCCTCTGTGCGTCCCATTGAGGACGACGATGATATAACTCGTTGGAGCTAACTAGTCAGTGACGGAGGAAGGAGTCTAGGTTATATAAAGCGGAGGCTGGGAAGATCCAACACGGACTGACCGAGGCCCTGAAGATCGTCCAGCGACGGTCGGTGGTGCAACGAAAGGACTGGGAAAGGTTGCACGGAGAACGGATGGGCAAGAAAAGTGGTGGAGAAGGATGAGCGTGGGAGGGGAACGTGGGGCCACATCTCGCTCTCTCTCTCTCTCTCTCCCTCCTTACTCCGTAGTCTGTTGTACCCTCGAGGCGCATGATGATGATGAATTCTTCCATGAATATCCTGTCCTACTTACTCCATGGCCTCCGCCTGGTCGAACGGTGCCTACCCGATTGACTCTGACCCCGGTCGCAATCACAACGAGACTCCGGTGCGAATACTCAAGTTCGCTGCATTGGAACGCTATGAAAATCTTAAGGCCGGAAATATCAACCGATTGCAGATGACGGGTTGTCTTATCCTCGATCACGGGTCGGGATTTGCGGATCTTTCTCTTCTTTCTATTTCTTTTCTTTTCGTCTGTTCTATTTTTCTGGGCACTTGGCTGTTCTGTCTTGCGTCCCGTACCCATGCCCATGCCCTTTTGTACTCGTACCTTGTACTCTTCCCTGTACTCTGCAGTCTGATGAACCCTAACTAGCACGATGTGCGGTTGGTTGGATGACTAATTAGTGACGTGGTTAGGTTGTAGTTTTTATTTTATTACTTTTCTGCAATTATTTCTCATTTTCCTCCCAGTAATTAATCTTCTAGGCCCTCTTTGTCATCCTGACGGACAATGCAACGCCGGTGCGACTAGGACGGAGCGGTGGAAATGCGGAATGTAGGGGGGAGAACTCGTGAGGGCTTGGGATATTTTGTCCCTAAATTAATAAAAAGAATAAGAGTTCAACCCAACGGTGAGGCTACCGAAGTTACCGGTAGCCCAGTAATCACAGCCTACTGGAGGATATCATCATCATCATCGGCAGGACAAGCGCTGGGACGGGAAAAGTGCAGCCTCGTCGCCTTACCGCTGACTCATCCAGGATAAGTCAGAACTAAATCGAGTGGATTCGATAGGAAGAACAAAACAGAGGAAGTAAAATTGAAGAGGGAGTATTCATGTATGGTACAGCGCCAGGAGTCAGGATAGAATCTACATAACACCGTAGAGGATCGCGAGACAGAAGAGCGGAGGACAGGCAAAGTTCCACGGCGATTCGATGCAGATGAACAGTTCAGCCTCCTCGTTTTTCCCTCTGCCACGGACCAATCACGGACACTTCAGGTGGGAGCCTCAAGTGATTTTGGGTTTAGCGGAGTTCTGGCTCTTGTCGGGCCTCGTGGATATTGAGGATGAGGAAAATAGTCTTCTTCATGAGAGCACTCCGAGGCTCAGTAAATACTAAATAGCAATTACTCTTGACTGGGAATGAACACTTTGGGGTTTTGTCTGTAGTGTTTTTATTATTCCTCTTCTATTCTTGTTACTATTCTTATAGGGCAACCACCTTGCCCTTTTGCTCTTCCCTTTCCCCTCTTTCCTTCTCTTTCCCTCCCTCCCCTCCCCTCTCTTTTCTTTCTCCGTTCTTTCTCCCCTGATCTTCCATGGCGGTGGATGCCTTCTTCCCGTTGAGCCTCCCGTGATTTTCCCTCCGTCTTGTCTCCTCTTACCTTCATCTCTCCTTCTTTCTCTCTTTCTCTCTCTGTCTACCTCCCTCCCCCACTTTGTGTTCAGCCTGCAGTGTGGCGTCTCTAGAGTCAGCTTCTAACCCTCCGCATCCCTCCGCGAACGTCTACCTATCGTTGAGTTCAATTTTCTTTTGGTGAAGGAGAAAGGTTCAAGTTATTCCAAGACCCAAAAAAAATCATTGATATCATTCTCATCATTGACGTGCCTGAATCGCGGAATATGAACTGATTCCCGTTGCAGTAACCGAATAGGCAAACCAAACGACTCCTGCTACGGATTTAATCTGGAGGAGCTACGACTTTCTGTGCACCGTGCAAGTGCCCCGAAGCCCGTCAAATCATCAATCGATCAACCCGGTTCCCTTCAGCCATCCTTTCTTATCCACCTTTGGCCGGACGGAATCCGACTGACAGTGCTTGCTTTGTGATTGTTCTCCACTCCGTCTTTCCAGCTGGGCCGGTGGTGGAGCGTCGCTGGGATTCCCTCCTCAATCAGAAATCAGCATCCTGCCCTACTGTCCTCCCGACCAGGCTAATAATCCATCCAATCCACCCTCCCGTCGTCCTGGTCTCTCTCTCGTTGCTTCGGTTCTGCCATCGCTAGCAGCCTGCCTGCTGACCGCTCCCCCGTCTGACCTTAACCTTTTGCACCTGCCAAGCGTCATCACAGCCGACTAGTTAGCTTCAACTGGCTGATTGATTGATTGATTGATTGTTCGATTACTTGCTTCACCAGTTTATTTGTTGTTGTTGTTTTTTATTATTTGGTTTACTTTTTTCTTTTCCTTTTTTTTTTTTTTTTTTTTTTTTTTTTTTTTTTGATTTCCCTCCCGTTTCATTTTCATTTCCTTTTTTTTCTTTTTCTCTTCTTTTTCGAACGGGGATCGCTGCGTCGCATCGTCCGTCCCTATAATTCTTCCTATTATTACCGTTACGACCTGGGTACTCCGTACTATTATCCCGGACAAGTTTCTGGTCCTACGGCCACCTCCAACAAGCTGCCGTCTCTACTCGACCATCACTGATGCTCCGACTCCGACTCTGAACGACGAATTACGACCCATGTCCTCGGACTTCTGACTGACTCTTACTCCTCTTGGCCGGTCCTCTTCTCCCTGTGATTATTATGGGCTCTGGTCATCGCTAGACCATGACTTTTTCTATGACCACCTTGGTGTTATTGTTCTCCTCCACTTTTTCCATCGGAAGCCGGCCTGCGTCTTAAGTTCCTGTCATTATTACTTCCGTTTTTTCGCCCTCCCCCATCAAGCCATTCTTGTTGCCGTTGCCGCTGCCGCTGCTTTGGTAGTCGCAGTCGCGCTTGCCGTTCCTCCACGTTTTCAAATTCCCACTCTCCTTATTTTTCGTTTTTTATTTTATTTTTTATTATTTTTCTTTCCGTTTTCCTATTTGGCTCCTATCCTTCTTATTTACATATCGGCGAGCCTCACTCCCTTCGGTTGATCTTCGTTTCGTTGATTTTGGGCCTCGGGTCTCATGCGGTCGGCGCATCGTGTTCGTCCTTGATCGCGGCGTCTGAATTGGCTCCGACTGAGCCTCATTTCTAAGTGCGGCTGGTGCCTGGTTCCGGTGGTGTTCGCCGTGTCTTGATGCCATCTAGCAGGTAAGCGTTTCTTTGCCTCGCGCTCCTTCAATTACCTGCCCTCCCATTGGAATTTGCATGAAGAGCTCTTTTTCTTCCCTCACATTTTTTCATGGCTACTTGGTGCTTGTATTTTACATTCCTTCGCCAAGGATGTTACCTTGTTCTTTCTTCCTCGCCCCTTAAGAAAACGGCAAGACGGGTGGTACCTTACTTGAAGTGGAACGGGGTTCCAGTCATCTACCACCGATGATGCATGTATCTATCTACCCTGATTCATCCTCGTTTCCCTCCCCCTGCTCAAGCGCTTCGAGAGTCGCAAGAGCCGCGATTTTCTTGCTTTGATCGCACGATTTACTACCATGTGCCCTCCTGGGTGCTTTTTCCTTTTGTTCCCAATTTTCTTCCCCAGGCGTCATTAATTAACCTCCTCTTTCCCTTCGTCTTTTCCTTCGCTATCCTGGTTCAAATTTGGTCATATAATAGATAAACTGACTAAATTCCTAGGAATCCTGGAGGCTACCACTGACCGGCTTGCCCCACTTAAATTCTGTCGTTTGCTCATTTCCTCTATTTCTCTTTCTTTCGTCTCGCGCGAAACCAGCACTTCTTGGGTCTCTGTGTTCTGAAGCATCCGGGACAGAGAACGGCAAAGCTTGAGAGATATCAAAAGGTGTGGCGCGCCTGATGCGTCCGAAGCCGTGGTCTCTATGGACAGACCTTACTACGATCCTGATGAGGAGCCTCGTTCCCCTGGGCTAGAGATTTCTAAAGTCAACTATGAATCCAAGGACTCACCGCCTCCTTTTCTCCAGAAGGGCTCCGATAGCGACACTACTAAAAAGTCTGCAGACGAGGGAACATCTCATGACTGTTCCCGTAAGCACCAGCTACAACCCTCCAAGCCCAGCACAACAGAGGGTAATTCGGTGCTGATCAGCTATTTAGACCCGAACCGACTGGACATTGCTGCTTTCGAAAGAAATCACCCCCTAAGTGAGGATTTGCGGCGCGAAGATGACTTGGATTTGCCGAAGAAATACGTACTGAGCAAACCGGAACCACCTTCCGCTACGGACGAATCTCTAAAACTGGCCCAATCTGCTCTTAATCTGCTTTCGGACAAAGAGCCCTCTAAACCTGAAGAAGTGCCTCCAGTACCACTTCCGTTAGTCGGAATCGGAAATGGTCCGGACAGTCCTCCCAAGAATAAACTTGTCATACCTTCTCTTTTGTCTCCCGATCATGACTCTCACAAACGAGAACCGGACTCCCCTCAATGTCCCCAGAAACCATTAAGTTCTTACGCCCCGGAGGCGAAGCCAGTTGGGCCCCATTCGCCTCTAAGCAGGTTTGTAATACCTGCGTCGGAGGCCTCGGCACATGACCTCTTACCGGCTCTCCATTCACCGGACAACAACCATACCTTGCCCTCCATCCAGACAGCACTGGGACTGCCTAGTGTGTCAAAGGAACCCCCTGGACGCCCCAACGGATCGTCCCCCCTTTCTCTTCCTCCCGTCACCGCTGCGTCGCCACCTGCTCTTAGAAGTGAGCCGGTTTGGGAGCAGCAACGTTCGGCACCTTTTTGTCCTCAAGTTCCTCCCAGTCCGTATTCACATTGGTCACCCGCGAGTACTAATGCTGGGAATTTATCGGCCGTATCTTCACCTGCATCGCAGAATTCCCATTGGCGATCTCTCAAATCGGAGATATCCTACCTGACTTCTCCATATGACGCGCACTCGACGGCCAAGAATCCGGCGACAGGCTATCCAACTCCTACAGACCAAACCCCTGCCAGCACATGCGACAGGACACCATACAACCCTCCGACGCAATCTAGCGGTGCCAATGTTTCAACCGGTACTTTCAAATGTGCCTCGCCAGGGTGTACTGCTCCCCCTTTTCAAACACAGTACTTGTTGAAGTAAGTTACTCTTACTGTCGTATAACCTCAAGAATGGAGTGCTTAGATAAATAACAGCTCCCATGCAAATGTGCATTCGCAAGAACGACCTCATTTTTGTTCAGTCGAAGGGTGTCCTCGTGGGCCGGGTGGAAAGGGGTTCAAACGTAAAAATGAGATGATACGGCATGGCCTTGTTCACAACTCACCGGGTTACGTTTGTCCCTTTTGCCCAGATCAGCAACATAAGTATCCGCGACCTGATAATCTCCAACGGTATGCTTAACGAGCCAGTAATGGACAGACGATGGAATTGTACTGACACAGAACAGGCATGTGCGCGTCCATCATGTTGACAAAAGCAAAGATGACCCCGCACTCCGTCATGTGCTTTCTCAGAGACCTGAGGGCAGTGTACGCGGTCGACGTCGCCGACAAAGCGTTCAGTAACGCTTTTGCGTTGATCATTGACCCGGGCATCTTCGCGTGAAAGGTGACTTTCTCAGACCCATCGGGAATTACGGGGTCATCTTCAAATCAGGGGACTCCATATATAGTCCCCCTTGAAGACTTTATTCTACCCTCACCTTATTGTATACTGCACATGCATTACGAACCATTGCATTTACTTCCAAACTTATATGCGTCTTCTTTGGTTGGTTTTCACCTTGTTCATGTTGTTTCAGTCCGTGATACCAAATGTCTAGAGTCATTGAATTTTTTGTCATTCGTTCTATGTTTGCATATACGCCGCCAGATTTCACTTTTATAATGCAGCGTGGGAATTGTATAGGAGTATAGGGCTTTCATCGTTAACAAATAAGGGCGTTGAATGCTTGTCTATTTCATCTTTCATCTTTCATCTGATTTATCATCGTACTATGTGGGCTTCCTTGCTAGATGCAAGTTACGTATACAAGCAAAGTGCTAAGTGTACAACCCACAGGATTATTACGAAGGTGTTTCCCAGCGATATGGGTGTTTTTTTTTTGTCTTTGTTCTCGTTCTACCTTCTCTTTCCAGAAAATTGATGACTTAACACATATGAATGAATCACGGTTTCATGAATCAGAGATAATTCCCAAAAGGGAAGGGGCAAAATTCAGAAACAAATAGCGAAACCATCATAAGGCCTGCGTGTGTAAGTTCCGTTCTAATAGTACATATTTTATCCCAAAACAAGCAACATGAATAACAGCAAAGGGAAGCCGAACAGAGAAGGAAAAGATCCAGTCAAATCCAATCTGCAGCATCGTGTTTAAGCCAAAAAAGCAAACAAATAAGAGAACATGAGCCATGATACAGAAAGAAAAAAAAAAAGCAATCAAAAAAAAGGTCAGCAAAAAGTTATGAAAAACCAAAAATGCAAACTCAGAATCAAGATTGAGATCAAGATCAGGATCAGAAATCCCTCCTCCGATGAACCCGTCGCACATGATCTTTCATATTATCGACCCGACTAAACATGCGTCGACAGTTGGGCCATTCACACGAGATACCCGGGTTATGTTTCGCCTCGTGACGATCCCGGTCCTTTTTACTGGAGAAGCCGCCGGTCGTGGACTGCGCGCACTCCGGATACCGACAGAAGAGGTGTTTGCGGTGTCGGTTGAAGTGTTTCCGGAGATCGCAGCCGCGACGGAAGGTCGTTTGCGAGGTGCAGCCTGGGTACGCGCATCGCCAGCTGCCGTCGGCGTTGGGGATGCCGTATTCGGTGAGGTCTCGCGGGCTGGGGCTCGGTTGGCTGGTTGGCGTGTTGGTGTCTTGCGTGTCGTCGTCGGTCATGCTGGCGATGCTGCTGCTGCCGTAACCGTTAGTGGTATGGTGGGAGTAGTAGTGGCGGTCTCCTCTGCTGGGGAGGGGCGAGAGTCGGGAGCTAGAGGATGGGCAGGGGGTGCCGGGTGGAGGGAAGAGGGATGTTAGGTGGGAGGTAGGGAGGTGGGGTGATGAGGTGGATGAGGAAGGGGCGGATGTCATGTAATAGGATGGTTGGTGGTGATGAGGTTGATTCTGCAGAGGAGGATACCACTGCTCCGCGAGGGGAAAGTAGGCAGCAGCGGCGGAGGAGGTGGGAAGCATGCTATTGAAAGATTCGGGGCCCTCGAGGGTAGACTGGGACGGGAGATCGAGGTCGGATCGAGAGTATTGATGTAGAGACTGGTCTGCAAGATAGAGTTGCTCCATACTTGGGCCCGCGTTTGAAGAATGAGGAGGAGATCGCGCGAGATGATACTGATCCATCGAGGACAGATCGGTCTCGGCATAGCGCTGCGGAATGTATGCTGGTGGCGAAGAGTAGAGATTATGTTGCGTAGGCACAGATCGCATGGTTGTGTAGGTTGCAGAAGATGGAAGGATAAAGTTGTTGTCCGCTGGGGATGGGTTCATGTTGAATACAGAACCGGAATCAGTATATGAAGCGGCACCGAATGACGACGATTGCTGTTGTCGGGTCTCCCCGTATCGCCTTCCAGGGCGACCTCCGGACAAACGAGATGGGTCCATCGGGAGTTGAAACTGAGAGTGAGAGGCAAAGATACTCATGAATGGTACAAAAATGGTGGCAGCAAAGTTAAGGGCGTTAGAAGTTTATTGGTCTCCAAATTATTGCTTTCACTTCGGTTTGGGGAATTTCCGGTCATATAAGCAATTGAGGCTTCAATATAGAAGGGATTTAAAACGACTTTCCCCATGTCAGATGTGGCTATGCAACCCTTCTGAGCTGACGATTGACAGGGTTCTCTGGAAAGACAGAGTTCTAGAAACTGATTCGTGTTCGATGCTCAACGACTAGCAAATGAATGTAGAAACGCTCATTTGAGTCACTTGTCAGAAGTTATTCTTGGTCGTCCGCCTGGCCGGATTTTTGTTCCTTTCCAAATTTTCGGTTGTCCACTTTTATTTTTGGCTGGAAGCTCAACGTCACTGTCGCGTATCTCCCCTGCAAGAGTGAAACTGAAGGATCTTCAGCTTCGTCACGTTTTCTGGCAGATGTTTAGGACGTGATCAGCAGCCCAGGCAAAAGATAGACGAATGAACGGTGTCCCCAGAGTTCCTCATGTATAGCTGAGACATCATAATCGCATGAATCGGCATTTGAGGGGCGACTTAAAAGACAGTTTCGTCGCTGTCTTATTGGGCACGGGTGTAAACAGGTAACCGATGACGTTCGAATTACCAGAAAACCCCGGGACCGGGACGGTGGTGCGTTGGTCTGTGTCTTCGTGCGCCGCTATTGTCGGGGGCCCTCGCTGCTAGTCTGGTGTTCCACCGTGTGTTTTCTTCTCGCCATACTCAAAACCGTGGTAGGGCTGAGGTGCCACGGGGATGCCGGAGCGGACACGGCGTTGTTGTGCATGGCGGAGAGTCCTGAAATCAGTCATCGGTCACGTTGTCTCTCGACAAGGCCCAAAAAGGCGTTTCGAATGGATTCGATCGATGATGACTGGCTGAGGCGATCATGACCTGACCGGGTTCTGCGTGATCCCGTTTGTCCACATTCTCGGGAGCAGAGCCTCAGCACTAGCATTTCCTTGACCGGGGGTCATGCAAGACAAGGGGGTAGGGGCAACGGTGCAATTAAAATCAACAAAAGACGAGTCAATTAGAAAAAAGCCCCTCTTTCTGATCGAACTATCCCCTTCTCACCGTTGAAAAAAATTAGTACTTCCTATGCACACCGACTGCGAGTCCGGTCAGGCCCCCCACGCAAGCCTGTTAGCCCCGAAGAAGATAAGCGATCGACACTGTCGGTCATGGCTGAGACACAAGATCCAGCCAGTCTGGTGGCTTCATGGCGTGCGATTTATAAGCCTCATATGCCGCTTTTCTGCAGTCGTTGCTCAATTCCCGACGTCATTTGCTGGCTTACTTGTGACGTCCAGGGCAATGCAGAAGTTGGAAAAGCCAAGGCGCGAAAAAGTAAACATCATTCAGCCCCATGGTAGCTGTGAAAGAGCGGTGTCGCTATCGCATGCCGTTTATTGCTCTAACCGTTCAAGAAGGGGATGGGGTGCAGTAGATGATGTACTGTAGGTATCAAGCGATGCAAGCATATACGATCGTGGGAAAGCAATTTCGGGAATGTCGCATTTTTTTCCTGATCGGTTGCGCGGAAGCCGCCCGGTCTCTCGAGTTCAGCTGAAGCCACCTTCAGCCTTGCGTTTCCCCTCGCTCGTTTAGTCTATGGGCAGTGGGTATTCCATCTCTATCGTCGACCGTTAGGTGGTCAGACTCCAATTCAAATCCAAGCTGAGCACCCAAGAAAATTTACCCCCCAAAAAAAAGGATTTCAAAATCCCCATCAGTCTATCCCATCTCGGTATAATAATCTAGTGGCTAGCAGTTCTGGGCACTTGATTTGGGTCTGCCAACAGAGGGGTGACGAGGTCTGGAATATCGCGTCTGTCCTTGCCTTTGTCTCTTCGCCTGTACAGAATGTAATGTTGAACGACGAAGACCAAGTCAAAGAGGATTGTGACATTTGACAAGAGAAATTTGATCGGATTGCCCGTGATTCCACTCCAATCATTTTGGAAACTGGAGTCGAGCACTAGCTGAATCAGGGACAGCACGCCTCCCGACAGATCCAAGAGGATCTGGACAATACTCCAGCCGTCTGTAGATTTGCGTTTATAGTTGACCCACGCCTGAGGCACATACTTCACAATGGTGATGATCAGCTTCACGTAGGAAAGAGTGTATATCTGGGAGTGTTGGTACGTCTATGTTAGCGCGAAGCTTTGATGACAGCAACGGGAGAGACCTTTGTAGGCCGATCTGTGTGCTTACTACGTCGATCCATGCCCAGGTCGAGGGTTCGTAGCCCTGATCGGGACTCCGTGCAAGAACGATGACGATAATGATGCCAACGGCGACGATTGACCCCCAGAATAGGCCAGCAACTGGTTTGCTAACCCTTTGGAAGCGTGAAACCTTGAAGCCCCAAATCTGCGGCCAGAATTGGGTATAGATAAGGGAGCTTAAAACGACGGCATGGAGAGCAAAGGCAAAATCATTGAAGCGCACAGTCGGCTCTTCCGAAAGCGGATGACGAGCAGCGTACTGGCCTCGAATTACGGGCGAATACAAGAAGGCTGAAGTATACGCTGTATAGCAAACGAATCCTAGGACGTTAATTGTTGGGAAATCGATGGCCAGCCCAGTCGTCGCACGCCGTCGGAAATTGCTGATGGGTTGTGGATAGAAGGACGCCGACCAACAGATCATGCTAAAACAGATCGTGTTAGTCCCGATCCGATTAGAAGTTAATGACAATGTTCATCGAAGACCTACTAGATCCATCCTAAAAGACTGCATTGCGTGTAGCCTAGTCAGTACGTTAAAGTTCCATAGGATCAGGCTAGACTTTGCGATTCGGAAACCGAGTTGCTCGATACGTACCGAGATAGAGCCCTCACGAAGATTTCTAGCTGAGATACCATGACTACCGAGGCGATGAATGAAGGAAAGGAGACATTTGATGAAGACAAAGAAGACGAGAGAGAGGATGAAGTAGGGCGGCAAGGGAGGAGACACCCCGTGGATCGGCAACTGATAAGATAGAGCACGCGATAGGGCCCCGAACGGCAGGCGGTCAACGGCCAGCCGCGCTGAGTCAGCGGCTGGTTGTCCGGGATATGCGCTGGCACGCTAAACCGCAAACGGCAAACAGTTGATGCCTCGAGGGCTCGTCGTCCCCCCAGACGCTTCCAGGCCTCTGCAGCTCCCTCGGTGGATTTTGTGCCTTGGTGATTTGGTGACTGGCTCTATGACTCTATCCCTCTGTTTTGAAATCTTCCGATCTCTGTCCTGTCCTGGTTCACCCTGGACAACCGTCATTCGATCTCGATCGATCTCCCCCACCCTTGCGTCGCTCAGTCCATACTACTCCGTCGTCAGCTTCATTCGCATCTGACCATAAACAACTTTCCATCAACGAGCTTCTGATCGCATTTCGACTCTCCCCGACGATATCAAATCCCGTCATCTGTGGTTTGCGCTGCATCGAGTTTCTCAGCCTTCGCTCGCGACGACCTTCGATCGCCTTTCCTTTTCTGCGCATGGTGCATTCTCCGGAGTGGGGGATCTGCTAGATCTCCTCCGGCCTTCCCGACATTCCAGTGTCTTGTAATCGCCGTCGGAGGAACGCACTTTGATCATCGCTGCTGGAGAGGAAGATCATTGAGGAACATCAGGAATAATGTCGTCCAACTCGGATCTCACTGCCCCCGGGAGCAGCACGTATGCCTCGAATACCTTGCATGTCGGAGATGGAACATGGGACAACGGGCGCGACACATTCCTTCTGCCAAATTTGATGGGGCTCAATTATGATACTATGCGCTATAATGGTGGGTATATCGGTGCTGCTTCAACTGTTAATTTCGGGCTCTTACACGGTCTATAGGAATGGGAAATCGGTTTCGAGAAATGCCGCAATACCGCACCCTGATAATCGCTCACGGTGTCATCGCAACTATTGTGTTCCTGGGCCTGGTGCCTATGTCAATTCTAACCATTCGATATTTTTCCCGCTGGAGTCCGTTTTGGGCCTTCAAGTTACATGTGTGGTGCCAGGTCTTGACCCTCTTATTGAGTACCGTCGTCTTTGTCCTAGGTTGGTTTGCTGTCGGTCCCAAGAGAAGTCTGTCGAACCCACACCACGGTATTGGGCTTGCAATCTACGTGATGGTCATATTCCAAGTGTTGTGGGGATGGCTGGTCCACAAAATAGAAAGCAAGAGAGAACGTTATCACGTTCCTTTTAAGCTCGTCGTGAGTCCTGCACTGCTGAATGTTTTTTTCCTTCTTCCGAGCGTCGTTCAAAAAAAAAGCTAACTTGAACCCAATGCTAGATCCACCGATGGATTGGTCGTGCGCTTGCCATTCTGGGACTTATCCAGATACCTTTAGGTCTCACTCTGTGGGGATCCCCGAAGTCCTTATTCATCCTATATTCGATCGCCGTGTTTGTTCTTTTGGTAGCGTTCTTCGTCCTATCGTACCTGTATGACACGGAAGGTTATCACCCGGGAGGAACCGATTACGATGGTCGACACAGTTATGTTTCTGGTCCTCCTGGTCCCGACGATCGCCGTCACAACAGCTTTGGTCGTATGGCCACGGCGGGAGCAGCCGGGGCTGGATTGGCCTCCCTCTTCCGTAGGCGCTCCAGGAGCAGAGGCAGGGATCACAGATACGACGATCCGCACACATCATTCACAGAGGAAAAGTACTCTGACGAAGGATCGCGTCGCGGTGGCTGGGCCGATAAATTCCTGAAAATAGGTGCCATTGGAGGCGGTGCTCTTCTCGCTAAAAAGCTATTCGATCGGAGGCGGAACAAAGAGAGTGATCGTGAATCTGGACGATATCGACCTGCCCATACTCGAACGGACAGCATGACAGAAGACAGCTTGAGTCGATTGGAAGATGGACGGAGACCAGCACCAAGCTATCAGACCCCTCTCAATCGCCCGCCTAGCCGGCCACCAAGCAGACCAGGAAGCAGACCGCAAAGTCCGGGGTCTTCATACTATTATGAGTCGACTTACCTCTCTGGAAACGAGCCAAGACCTTCTCATGGCGCTCGCAATGCTTTCTTTGGTGCAGGTGCATTCGCGGCCCTTAAGAATATGTTCAACCGCCGGAAGGGTGACCCGGACCAACGCCGTATGGAAGAAATGCGTCGTCAAGAGATGGAAGACGAGCGTCTCCAGCGTGCAAACAGTAAACGCCGCTACACCGGAGATGGCTATTATCCACGACGACGAGCCGACTCCTTCACCGCTACTGACTTGTCATCCGACATGACACGCCCTCCACGTGGTCCCTCGCATGGCCCTCCACTCGGCGAGTCTGCTCTTACTGGAGGCCCTACCGCCTCTGGTCCGGTTGATGGAGCGCACTCAGATATGCCACCTGTGCCTCCGACTCAACTAACCTCAGAGCTCCCAGCACGTGATCCGTCACGACCCACGCCTTCTGACTTTGCGGCTGGTGCGGCCGCAGGGTCGGCCCTTGGCGGCCCGTCCAGCCATCGCCGTCGCCGCAGTAGCAGCAGACGCAGAGATGACCACGTGGATTCCCCACCGGTATCTGTCAAAGTGAAGATGCATGACGACGGGCGCCACGTCACTCTACGGAGATTAACGGAGGAGGAAGCTGCCGCTAATCGTGAAGCACGACGCAGAGAGCGACGCAACTCCCGCCGTCGCGCTGGTAGTACCAGCTCCTTATCCGGCGGCGAGGGAAGCTATGACCGATGGCGTCGAGTTGAGGAACTGGAGCGCGAACAACAGGAGCAGATGCGACGAGAACAAGCAGCCGCAGCTGCAGCTGCTCCATCCGGAACTATGCCCCCGGCCTCTTACGCACCACCGCCCTCGAATATGAGCCATATGGCCCCTCCTCCGCCACCCCCGCCTCCAGCCGGCGCAGGTATGCCCTATGGTGCAGGGAGCATAACATCTCCCGGTACATACACCGGTACGGAAGCCAGTGGCGACTATGCGAACAATCGAAGACGACGACGAGCCGAGCGAGCTCGCGCCCGACAGGACAGGCAGCACAGTGTGGAATTCACCTGATGATGGACCATTTGACGTCCACCATCCAGGGGCTTTCGAGCTCTGAATATTTTCCGTCTTGTCTCCTGCTCTTGCAATTTTGCAACGCAATTTGTATAGAACCCCGCTTGTTTTCTTCCCTGTGATATATTTGATTCCCAAACTTCCCCATCATCTTTTCTCATGTCCCCCGCCCCATTTGTCACGAATGTTCTCTATCTACCCCAGTCATGTTCTCTTCTGATGTTCTGTTTGCCCCCAATCCCATGTTTTTCTACGGCCTACCCTTACTTAGCACGATGGAACGGAACGAGATGGTAAGTAATGAAATGCCAATGCAAGCGTTGATCTTTTCCCCATGCCCTTGTTTGATCTACGAATTGAAGACACATGCCCCCCACCACGTTTCATGTTTCATATGCTTAAAATGTCCACAATGTTTCCAATGTTCTAATGTTCAATATTGATCTTGATGATAACATATCCGCGTCCAATCAAAAATGAACATACCAAAAAACATACATGCAGACAGAGAAGAAGCAGACGATGCTCGTATTGATTGACTTCTTCGGTTCCGGATTGATCATTTCTTATTATATTGTTTTCCGTCTCTTGCTTTGCCCACTTAGTTGTTGATATGTTGGTTTATATGTTGATATCATCCTACTGTTTCGTTACCTATCTGTCCACAAAGCAATTCATGACCTCTTTCTGCTTTTTGTTAGTGCTTTTTTGGTACTTTGTCTCTTTTGTATAATTTACGTTTCGTTTTGGCTTGTTCCTCCTGTCTGGTTAGATGGTCTGAATGGATGGACGACATCATAGGACGGAGCTAGATCCATCTTGCTTTCCCTAGTGGTACTTAGCTAGTTATACGTGTACAAATGCAATTGGTTTTCGCCGCTTGAGCCTCCCTTTTTATGTACGCCAGGTCAACTACTTGTGGATCGCAACCATCACAAAATCTCAAAGAGCAAAGTCTACCGATCAAGCACGACACTTCACGCACACTGGTCAACGCGAACTTCGGTGGAAATACAACTATGGTAATGAAAATCAATTTGGATAGACGATACAGCAAAAAGAACTAAGACATTGGAGTTGTAGTTGAGCCCACTCAAACTTAACGACACACATGCAGTAGAGAACATAACCCAGTAATCAAGTCTCAAAACCTCCTACAGCCAGGTCACATATTGACCGCAAGCTTAAACCATTCATCATCACGCACCGAACGCTTGCCCTCCCTCCAGTTCCTTCTTATCCAGCTCTGTCCTTGGTTTGAGAGATGGTTTTACTCAGGACCCTGGGCTTTTCTTTTATGAAATAGCCCAGTAACTGCCTTGCGCTTTTGTTTGAAGGAGGCGCAGAATTTTTTCCAAGCTCGGCCCCGGCGGGTAGATTGGGAGGAAGTATTGTCCGGAGGAGGGTCAGGAGGGGATTGATCTTCGTCAGTCTGACTTTCTGCTTTTGGTTTATCTGCTTCTCCTTCGGCTTTATCAGAGTCTTTGTCAGGAGGAGTATTGTCCGGAGAAGGGGCAGGAGTGATTTGATCTTCATCCGGCCATGTGTTTGTCTGACTTGCGGTTTTTGGTTTATCTGCTTCTCCTTCGGCTTTATCAGAGCTTTTGTCAGGAAGAGTATTGTCCGGACGAGGGACAGGAGTGATTTGATTTTCATCCGTTCGTGGACTTGTCTGACTTTCTGCTTTTGGCTTATCTGCTTCCTCCTTGGGGTTGAACATTTCTAACCATCTTTCAGCTGACGTCTTTTTTCCATCTGCTGATTCCCTTTCACTTTTTTCATCTGGCTGGTCTGGATTTCCTTTGCTTTCAGGTGGATCTCGCCGGCTTTTGTGATCTGGAGGGTCTGATCCACCTCCGCCTGATCGTGGAGGCCGGCGTCGGGTACCTGATGGACCTGGCTGACATGACTGATCTCCGTCTTGTGGTGGGTATTCCCGGCCTGGACCACTTGAAGAGCCTGCTTTATTGTAGCCTTCGCAGGGACTTCCGTCAGCAGCGACTCAGCATCGTGCTTTGATGGGCGAAAACTTACCTCCTGAAGCATGCTGGCGTAAACCCATTCGCGGAGACAGAGTGCGAAGAGGAATATTTTCGGTCCCGGCAAGTTCGCCTTCTACAAGTACCTCATTGTTTCGTCTTTTCGCTAGCAGAGCCTCAAATTCCTCTTGGAGGCTGCTACTACCAGTGTCCATCCGACGGGTCTGCGTAATGGGGTTGTTGGCGGAATCGCGCAGTGCCAATACTGGAGACTCCATGGGCTTCGAGTCTGATTTCAGTGACCTGCCCGGGCTCCTTGTGGAGCCGAACACAGCACCGAGCCCAGAGAGTGAGTCTTCCATGGTGTCTACCCTAGGTTTCCCGGGTGCTGGAGGTGTCGTCCCAAAAGGATCAGGTGACATGTTATCTTTCGAAAAACTGGTCTGCAATCCGGGGTTTTCAGAACCCCACATTTGATCCATCTCGTCGGTCGTGAGCACCCCCAAGTCGGTGTGATTCATAAAGCTGGTTCTGTCTATGTAACGTACCGAACCTGTTGTCTTGACACTGCGGGCGCCAAGCGCGATAGGAGTATCAGTCGGCGGTGTTATCACGATTGATGGTACATCCCGAGGGGTTGTCGGTTCAGTTTCAGTTGGTGGTGGAAGGATCTCTTGGGGTGATGGTGCTCGCTCTGTAGACGAGACTGATTTGGATGAAGACATCTTGCCGGGTACTTTGAGATAATTTGGATATAGAGAATGGTGAGAATGGTGAGAATGGTGAGAATGGTGAGAATGGTGAGAATGGTGAGAATGGTGAATCTGGATTGTAATGGAAAATGAGCGATGCGTAAGTAATGATACGACCGTGTCAAATGATATAGAGCTAGCAGAATTGGTTATGAGAATGATGGCACGTATAAGGAAGAAACAAGGTAAACAAACGTGTTACTGAGAGAAAATGAGTGGCTCGCAGCGGGGACAGCCCTGCGTGAGGAAGGTGTTACCCAATATCTGCTTAACGGGCAGGTCCGGGGTGCTTCAGTTGGTTCATTGGATACGCACAAGCCTTCGGAATGCAAGGCAATGAATGGAAATAATAGGCAGGAGAGACACTCCAGAGAATTGTTATAATTCTACACATTCAGAATTGAGTTCGCGAGTGGATATGTACATAAGGTATCTATTTGAGGACAGCTTGCAGGCTCTCCAACACCTGGCGAACAAATTAGTTGGTTTTCAAGAAAGCTCAGCTCGCCTTCCCCAGTGTGACTTACCTCCAGCTCAATCTTGGCCTCAGCAATATCCTGCTCGCTGCCGCTGCCGCTGGCAATCTTCTGGGCCTCGGTGATCTGAGACCTGACGTTCTGTAGTTGTAAGATTTCCGGTCAGTAAAGTGGTCGTCGCAATGCGGTGGGTCCCGAATACTTACGTCGGCGCTGAATTCCTCCAGAGGGAAACCCTCGACAGCGTTGATGCTCAGCTGAGAGTCGGGCTGAACGACGGCGAAACCACCAGACACTAGAAATTGAGGCCATTCCCCCGGTCAGTTCTGTTCTGCACTGAATAGGAAAAAGCCAGCCATCCCAATTCAATCCTGCGCGGGTATCAACGGGGATCGGACGTACGGAAGAACTTCTTGCTGGCACCACCCTCCTCAACGACCTCGACGAGGCCAGGCTTGAGCTGCTCGATGGAGGGAACGTGGTTGGCGAGGACACCCATCTCTCCGGACTCGGCGGGGATGTTGACCTGGACACTAAAGTTGGGAAAAAGGATCGTAAGTATTCGCGGTGATAAAAGAACGGTCAGGACCGCCGTCACGGTGTCGGTGAATCAGAGATCGGGGGGACGTACACGCCGGTCGACTTGAAGATAGTCTAAGTAGAAGGTTGTTTGTTAGTCATTGACATCAAGAAAGAGCGCGCAAAGAAGAGAGGAGGATGGGTGGCCTCGGAAACATACCTGGTGAGGAAGGGTCAGGGAAAGCTTGATCTTGTCCGACACAGCCTCGGCGTAACCTCTGCGCTGAAGAGGAACGCGGAAAGCGGAGGGACGAGCCCTGAAAGCAGAGCGAGCGAAGCGGAGAGAGCTCATCTTGCAATGGATGGACGGGAGAAGGTGGTGATGGTATCCCTCTGTGAACCTGGGTTGAGGTGCAAAGGTCGAAGTCGGATGCCGGTTGTTCCCTAGCGGCTCGGGCGGTCACGTGGGAGGACCGGCACGGGACTTGAACTTGGGCTTGGGGGTGGGACTTGAACAAGAAATGTTCAACAACAGACTACATTCCAACGGGGGATTACGAGAGGAAACCTGTTCGGCATGAACTGTATTTTTGACATACATTCTGTTGAGTACTACTCCTACGACACAGCTCGATTCCCGCACGAAGTCTTTGGTCTTCCCGATTCCTGGCCCACGCCTGTACTTCGAGTTCCCATATACTTGGCATCGAACGACTAGGAATTTAAATTACTAGAAGTATACCTGCTGGGCAAGTTACAGGTAACCATCAAGTCAATCGCCGATGTTTTGCAGCAGAAATGAGTTCCCCATTTGATATCACGTGCCAACCGTTAGCTTGTGTCCTTTAGCCTTACGTCACCGTCAGTTTGGAATAATGAATGAGTTTGTATTCTGATGACACTACGGCAGTCTTTTTCTATCTATTATTCACACCGTGCCCCTTGATTGCTGTCCTCGGAAAGAACCTGCCTCTTCGCAGGGCAAGCCACAAATGTGTTAGTCAGCGATCACGGGACAGGGCCTCCAAGATGAACACCAACCCAACTGGACATGGGCAGTGACCGTTTACGCCGGGAAGTGCGAAATGATATTGAAATAATCAAATCTGCTTCTTCCAGATCTCAATGATGTCAGACGTAAAGAAAGGACCTAGACTATGATTCTTTGTAGCGCATACTCCGTAGTAGAGACTTGCAACTTGCAGTCGGGTCAAGCCACACGGGCCAATGACGCGAGGCGCAGTCGGTAAGCGAAATCCCACACAAAAGCGGGAAGCCCTAGTCCAAGTCGCCCGGGCTCCGGCCTTCTGCTCAGTTCTCGGATAACCTCACCCGCCAACTCATCGTCAACCGTCTCCCAGTTGCGACAAATCCGACAAGATGGCCAGTACGTGCTATTCCCCTGTTGTTCCAGCCGCTGGGATTCTCTCGAATCCTGCCAAAATATGGCCGGGGAATTATTTCCCAATCATGGCAGTCTTTACCATGCTTCTCCAGAGCCACTGACTTATATTCTTTCTTACAGAGTCCAAGAACGCGTCTCAGCACCACAACAGCCAGAAGGCTCACCGTAACGGGTTCGTACCAGCCGACCACTCTTTGCGATTTCAAATGTCTTGCCGGGAAGGAACACAACTTGCGGCGTTGGAGGTTGGGAGGTGATACTTGGATGGGAGCGATGTTGGTCCACGAGATCGAATCTTTTCACCAGCTTTTCAGCGACTCTTTTGGGTTCCTCCACGGGCGACAGATGGATCGACATTGGGAGATAAGAACTCGAGACTGATATATCTTCTTTCTCAACAGTATCAAGAAGCCTAAGACCCACCGTTACCCCTCCCTCAAGGGTGTTGACCCCAAGTTCCGCCGCAACCACAGACACGCTCTGCACGGCACCATGAAGGCGCTGGTACGTTGAACAACATTTCCTCCGATCTTCCGATGGCCCCATGAATGGCCATGCACAGAAGACATGGAAGAGCGAGACGGGGAGACGGTCAGATGGCTAACAACTTCTACAGAAGGAGCGGAACCAGGGCAAGCGCGAGGTCGCATAAATCAACTAATACCAAATTGAAAAATGAAAACGGGAGCAATTTGAGTTGGTGATCTGAAACGTGCGATGAACCCATAAACGTCATGTCGGAACAAACCTGGCTGGTTCCGCGCGACGGTTGTTAAATAAAGCAATTTGACTCGATTCCACGACATGGCCATGAACGCTCTGTCTCGATTTTCTCTTGTTCCGTGCGGTCAAGTAGATCTGTTCTCTGATTTGTTTTCTGATTTGTTGCCCCCGACTTGCGGATTCTCTCGAGATTCGTGATTCCGGATGTACCCCATTCCCTTACCTCAGGCATATGTGTGTACAGCTTCGTGCCATTTTCTCATGCGCGCTTGCTGAAGGATTTTCTTAACGTGCCAAGATCAATTGCCCCCCAATTACCAAACACCCTCCCTCTTTTTTCTGTGGCGTGAGGGTGCATGGACGGGGGGCTACATTCCGTAATCTTCAATCACTTTAGAATTGAGCTTATCTTTGATGTTTTCAGAATCCTCCAACTCGATGTTCTTATCGTAGACAAAACTATTGGTTCTGACCTCAATCACAGAAGTATGGTATGCAACTTCAAATATGACGTGATATATATAAATCGCTTAATCGAATACCCCCTTTCCTATGATTGCTGAATACTACGCCTCTCCTTTCCAAACCACCAACCGTTTATCAAATCCACCACTAACCAACCACTCCTCCCTCACGGCCTCCCCCTGACGAGGAACATCCACCCAACCCGCCCAGATAGCCCTCACTTTACACCCGATTTCGTGCCCATTCTTGAGTATCGAAACCACCTTCCCCGTTTTCGTCTCCACCCCCCGAATCACCCCGTCATCTCCATTCACCCATACTCCAGAGCCGTCGGGCCGCCAGGCCACCTGCGGCGTCGAGTACGCCGTCTGCGGCGCAAACGTATTCGCCTGGATCATGATGGCCGCGTCCTCACGGTTCTGGAGCGTCAGGGCCGCGAACGCCTGTGTGGCTTGCGTCGTCGCCGTCTCGGGTTCTGACGACCCACCAGTCACGGGCCCTGGAGTGACGAGATCGATGCTGTCGACAGACGGGAAGAGTAGTCGGACAATGATGACCTTCATGTGCGGCAATGTGGAAGTCGCCACGGCCAACAGTCCGGGGTCTAACGGGTTCAGAGCTAGACAGGACGGCGAGAAAGCGACCCAGGCGTTGGAATGCGGAGCGAGGTTTTGCTTGCCCAAGAGACGGCATTCGTAGGGATCAGGAGCAGGGGTAGAAGAGGAGGGCCTCTGCACCTGATAGTAGAAGAGATGCGTCGAGTCTCGGCGGGCAACGAGCAAGATCAGATCCTTGGAATCCGCATGTCGGACAAAGAGCATGGACTCCGGGTTCGTTGGGAGAGTGATATAGCCCACAGGTTCGCCGAGGACTGGATGCCGAGACTCAGCAGTAGGGTCGATGTGTAGACGGTAGAGAAAGATCTTGGAGTCCCAGCCCGCCGTAGCGATCCAGACCGTCTTTATCGACGAGATTGGGTCGTCATTGCTGTCGTCGTTGTCCTCGAAGGCGACTACTTTCACGACATATTTGGTGTGGTCTCTTCTGCGGTCGAGGATTTCCGTGCCTTGTTGCAGAAGGAGCTGGCCGGACATGTTAGTCAGAAGAGCATATTCTCCATTTCTGATAGACACGTAAGACAGGATAGGAGACTCGGAGAGGCCTGCAAAGGACTTGACGATGTCATTGCCCGGCGCGGTATTGATGAGATGAAGTTGCCTGTCCGCGCCGGTAGCCACTATATAAGACGACAACGCGGACGAAGGTTGCGAGCTTTCGTCCTCGTCATACTTCCAGGTGTCTACAGAGCAGGCCAACACATTTGAAGAAGTTGGGATCTGGACGACAGTCGGGGAGGACGGTGCTGATTAGATGCATCAGTTTTTGATAAACCCAGTTTGCATCTCAACACAACACTGTCGCTTACCGGGTGTGCTCCAGAGATCATTCTCCTTGTCGCCGTCGCCGTATCGCTCGGACTTGATACTCTGATCAAAGACACGTTTCTCTTCGATCACACCCTCGATGGTCCAACTGCTTGAGTCGTTGTCTTTTTTCAGACCGACGTGTCCCGCGTCGGCGGGGAGTCCCGCCTCTTGAATAAACGCTCGGAGCGTCTGGGTATAATTATTCGTTCGCAGAAAGCGAGCCACGAGAATGCTGGCGAGTGAAGGGTCTCGTGTATCGGTCGGCATTGTGGCTGGTTGAGGGAGGAAATTGAAATTTGAAAATCAGCGGGCGCCGATGACGGGGGGGTTATTGAGGGGACCTATATATACTAACCGCCGCCCGATTGCTGATGGGTGTACATCTGACCGACAATTCAAGAATCTACAATTGACCAAAATGATGCAGATGCAAAAGAGTATGCCATATAAGACTTCCGTGCAGCTCAGACACGGAATCCATGAATTATGATATGATATGAAAAGTAACTATCTGAAGAGGGGATTGGTATCACAAACTGGATGGCGTCATGGGGACACATCTCCTATCTAATATTTTATAAAAAGCACCGGCCCAAGAATTATGAAAGATCTCCATGCACATCGCTGTCCTCCTTGTACGTATTCCTCATTCTTCTTTCCTCGCAGTATCCTCAACTAAACATGTCCTCCGCTCTCCGTCGGGGTCCTCCTCGGCCATCGATCTTTTCGGAGAAGAGCTCCTTGCCGGCGTTGTTGTTGTACTTGTCTGGGAAGAGCTCGCGCACAGAGGCTCCCCGCCCTTTGATTGAGAGGCCATTGTTGGCTGAGCCTCGAATTGACATACCCCGATCCTGACCGGCCGCGCCACGAATGTTCACGTCACTTGAGTCCGACTCCGGGAAGAGCTCAACATTTCGATTGCGCTGGGAATGCCCTTGTTCGTGTGCCCCATCGACAAGAGGAATGGAGATCCGTCTCGCGAACAGATCCGCCGTCTCATCTGCTGCATCGATCGCATCCGACCGACGGTGGTTGCTGACCTTGCTGGGAAAGAGCTCCTTCTTGAGATAGCTGGTTGCCGGTTTGTTGGGGAATAGCTCTCGCGCATGTGGATCGCTAGTGGCGGCCCCGGAGGACTTCGAGGATGGGAAAAGTTCTTTGCCTTCGTTGTGGCGGCTAGACTGAGGGGATCGTTCTCGGAATCGTCGGCGTGAGCCAGACCGATCCTTGTCCGGATATCCACCCTCCATCAGAGTGTCTCGACCAGGCGATGCACTGCGGTTACGCAGACGACCAGACGAACGGCCTCCGTCGTCATCGAACAAATCTCGGCGGCCTCGGCGGTCTCGCCCGTCGCGGCCCCTATCCGTGTCGGAGTAATCGGTGCTGGGCGCTCGCGTATCGTCGTACATATTGGCACTGATGCCTTCGTCCACGTCGCGATCCCTCCGTCGCCGCAGCTCGCGTCCATCAAACCGTCTCCTCCGGTAATCGCCATCATGGGTATCCCCGCCTCCATCACGCCGTCTGTCCGCCAGCTCCCGTCGTAGTCGTTCGCGAGGGTCGTGCTCAGGGTGCATGAGATAAAAGCGACTGGCTTCATGCGCGCGGGGTCTTTTCCGATCGGTCTTCACGGCTGACCGCACCTGCAGGACGGAATCGGGATGGGAGGATAGGAGTTTCGCCGACCGCAGGCGCAGCGCCGGCAAAGCCGCATCTTCTTCCTCGACGACTTGCGTAAAGGCCGACAGAGCCTGAAGACCCATCTCCGACGAGGAATACACAATGTTCGCCGACGTATCGTCAATCCACTCGACCCGGCTAGGCTCCTCGGCAGGGAAGTGAGTGGTCGCAAATTGCTTGATGTTGTCCGTGGTCAATTCGTCAACTCCTCTGATGTGTACTTTCTCGTATTGAGCGTCTTCAGTGAGGTGGTCGGCTGCTCCGTCTTGTGCCATGGCATCCGCGGTCGCGGGATACTAAAAATTGCCAGAGGTTAGAGTGAGAGAATGGTAGGGTGGGCGTGAGCGAGATAGTGACATTCACTCACGTCGTCAATGGGCTCAGGCTCAGGAATTGGACCAAGGTCCAGGTCCAGGTCCATGTCCATGGAGGCGTCCATGGCGTCGGTTTGCCGGTTGTAGAGTGTTTACGGTCTTCGTTGCGGAGGGATTCACTCCAACGGGGTCTGAATTGGGAGGGTATGACAATAGAGGTCGAATTTGAGAGAGGATGGAGGAATTATATCATTCGAGAGAGTGACAAAATATATGAATCAGGAGAAGAGGAGACTTCCGCGAGGAGAGAGAAGAATAAGACGGAGATCGGAGGGAAGCTGATCGCCCGCTGAAGCTTCTCGGGGAAGCCTTGCTGGAAGTCCCGCTGCCTTCACCGCCCGCGGAGGTTGCCTTCTAACTGTAATTCTGACACACAATTTAACTATCTACTATCTACATATCTACCAACTAGAATTAATCCCTAATTTTTACCCTCCCTGTCTTCTACAACCTTCTTCACAGATTCATCCTGCAGTACACCCGTGTCATAAACGTTGACTTGATGTTTCGCAAACTTCCGGGCTGGCACCTTCTGATGAAACATGACGTCGAGCTCATCGTAAGTCCTGCCGGCGCACTCTGGAAGACGGAAATAGGCCCAGAGCGTGGTCAAAGCCGCCGTTCCGAACCAGAAATAGGCTGTCTTGCCCTTCAGGTCAGCCTCGGTCGGGTTGATCAGGTACGGCTCGATGATGTTCGCTATGATCTGCGTGATATTGTAGACGTTCCGCGACAAACAAACGGACTTGGCTCGCAGCTGAATGGACGACGTCTCGGAAATGATTGTGAAAGTAATGGGTCCTAGGGTGGTAGAATAAGTGAAAAGCCACACCAGACACAGAGCAGCCTGACCCCATTTCGCGCCGCTAGACTCGGATGCCGAAGCAATCACACCGATGATGAGCAACAATCCAGTCAACGTGGCGATGCCGCACACGTACAGTTGGCGGCGACCAAAGCGACCGAGCAGGAACCACGAGATCACCGTCCCCACAAAGGAAATGGCTGTGCCACCGACGGCGATCTGGTAGGCGTTGTCCGTGCTGATTCCAGCTTGGACGAAGAAGTAGGTGGGCGCGTAGGCAAAAGCCGAGCCCGACAAGACTTGACCGGCAAAAGCCATGCAGACAATCTCGGTTCGACGCCGGTCGATACCCCGAAAACAGTCCAGATAATTTGAGCCGGCCTCCATCTTCTGCTCGAGCTCCAGCGTGTGCAGAATCTGAGCCAACGTCTTCTGGTGCGATTCGTGGCCTCGATTGTCGAGCTTCGAGAGCGATTTGTAGACATCATCCAAACGGTTATTCCGGGCTAGCCACCAAGGTGATTCCGGGGCAAACAAGACCATAATGAACAGAGGGACCGGCCAGATCCATTGCAGCGCATACGCAATTCGGTAGGACCATTCGTTTTCAATTTTGAGTAGGCCATACAGGACACCTGCGGCAATGAACTGGCCAATGGCCCAGCAAAGATTCACATAGCAGGTGAGATATCCCCGCAGAGCGAGAGGGCAAACCTCCGACGCATAGGCCGGTCCTGTCGTGGCAAATACACCCCAGGTGAGTCCGCACAGGACCTGCCCTACGAGCAGTACCGGCGCCGAAGATGCGAAAAACAGAATGAAAATGAACCAATTCATCATGAAGAGCGAGCCTAGCAGGACCATTTTGTATCCGTATCGTGTGGATAGGTATCCGTTCAAGAAGCCGCCAATGACTATACCAGCATTGGCACCGTTGCTGAGACCAGCTTGCCAGGGCCCTGAGACTTCGTAGCCATCTTGTTCTGGACGGTATGCCCCGAATGTACGTTGAAACGCAGGATAGGAGAAGAACTGGTAGATGAGGCCTGACGATATCTGTTAACTGGGGATCCTGGACCTCGGAACTGGACCACGATGAGTACGCACCGACATCATAACCCTCCATGATAATCGTCAGGGAGATGGCTGCAGACCATAATGCCGCCTTGCGGTTGCTTTTGAGGGCCTGCCAGAATGTTGCCTGACGCTCAGCAGCTGAGGCTTGCTGGGCTTCTTTGTTCTCAGCAGCCTGCGATGAATGCTCGATGTGAGCCGTTTGCTCTTTCTGGATATCGTCGGTCTTCATCATAGTATTCAATGCTATCCCAGATACAAGTGAAGTCAAGAGTCAACCTTCCAAAATAGGAGGCAGACACGGCATATTTAACCCCCGACTGGCCCTGTCATCGTCTGACCTGACCACATTCCATCTAATCCCCAATCCTGGACTCGCTCAAGCCACTAATACCCCGGATCATCATATCATTCTCTGGGGTCATTCTGGAGCCATCGTCTGTACCCCGCATCTTATCTCATTGTCGCCGATGTTATACAAGATCGCCCAGTCTGTATTTTGCCGATAGCTTCGAGTTTAATGGCCAAGACGACCTCTCAGTGGTTCAAGGCTTTATGCTTTCTTAGACGTTGCTTGGATCCAGATCACCGTCCTATCATGAGATACAAGGCCGCGTTTCAGTGACATCACGAGCTGGCTTGGAAGGATCCTAACCGGGGCGCGGGATAGAAGATTGGAGAAACTCTTCCTTTTGCTATGGGGTTCAAATACTATCGATATCTCCTCCAAGCGTATTTGAAAAACGAGTTCAAGCTTGGCCCTAAGACAAGCGGACATGACAACGCCCATGACAACGCCCATGATTAACAGCTGCAGGACTGCACTTACTTAGAAGGAAGATGCAAGTAACTGATTGTCGACCAGGATTATCCAAACTTTCCCCGCTTCATCATTTCCATTTAGCCTAATCAGGCTATACAGATCCTTGCCAACCCGGAAACGGCGCTTCCGCCGGTTAATTAGAAGCAGCCTTCGGTGGAATTTCTCCTTGGCTCTTTCGTGTCGGCGCATCCTGAAAACACAAAGGATGCCCCCACTCCAGCTCTCGCTCATCCAACAGCAGTGACTTCCGCGCTCTTTGTACTCCCAAATCGATGACCCCGTGGGTCGACCAATTGGTAACTACTGACATGGATTAGCCTGTTGTCGCATTGCTGGATGCACGCATTGCATGGTTGAAGCGATGCGCTGGAGGGTCCACGATGAGGGGAAGCAATGACGCATGCGATTCTCTGGTGACTTAACTGTCCGGCCTCCCAGAAAGCAGATTCCTTTCCAGATTGTCCTACCGAGAGTGCTCTTAAGCTCTGCCAATTTCGAAATCCTGGTATACAGACCAGACTCTCTCCGTGAAATCCCTGTCCTATACGCGCACACGCACACGCACTTGTCGCAATGCTCTACGCGGAAGGTGACAAACTGGTCTTTCGCTTTGACGACCACCTCTTATGGGTGCAACCATGGGGTGAGAATGCGCTCCGTGTCAGGGCCACGAAGCTGTCGTCGATGCCAGATGAAGATTGGGCCCTTTCCACGAAGCCTGCAGCAAACCAGACAACGGTCGAGACGCCGGAGGGGAAGGAAGCAAGTATCTCGAACGGCAAGATTAAGGCGGTTGTCTCCCGGCGTGGCAAGCTGATCATCTACAATTCCAAGGGGGAAAAGCTCTTGGAGGAATATGCCCGTCATCGCCGCGACCCGATGGACCCGAAATGTAGTGCCTTGGAAATTGAGGCACGGGAGCTGCGACCCATCTTGGGGGGTGATTTCCACCTCACCCTGCGTTTCGAATCGTTGGATCCAAAGGAGAAGATATTCGGAATGGGACAATACCAGCAGCCTAATCTGAACCTCAAGGGGTCGGATATCGAACTGGCTCACCGCAATTCTCAAGCCAGTGTGCCCTTTGCGCTGTCTTCCCTGGGCTATGGTTTCTTGTGGAACAACCCCGGTATTGGACGGGCGGTTTTCGGAACTAACACCACGAGCTTCGAGGCCTATTCGACCAAAACCCTGGATTACTGGGTGGTTGCCGGAGACAGCCCGGCCGAGATTGAGGAGGCATACAGCAAGGTCACCGGTTATGTTCCAATGATGCCTGAATACGGCCTGGGTTTCTGGCAGTGCAAGCTCAGGTACTGGAACCAAGAGCAACTTCTTGACGTCGTGAGGGAGTATAAGAAACGAAAGATTCCTCTGGACCTGATTGTCATCGACTTCTTCCACTGGAAGCACCAGGGAGAGTGGAGCTTCGATCCCAAGTTCTGGCCTGATCCTGGTAAGTCAATTTGAGAGTTTTACCGAAGGTATTCTCAGCTGATCCATATTTGTTCTCATATTATAGATGCCATGGTGAAAGAGCTCAAAGAGTCGAACGTTGAGCTCATGGTGTCCATCTGGCCAACCGTCGAGAATGCATCTGAGAACTATCCCGAGATGCTGGAACGGGGTCTTCTGATTCGCCACGATCGTGGGTTACGGATTGCGATGCAATGCGATGGAGACATCACACATTTCGACGCGACCAATCCGGAAGCTCGCAAATATGTCTGGGAAAAGGCGAAGAAGAACTACTACGAGAAGGGGATCAAGGTGTTCTGGCTTGATGAAGCCGAGCCTGAATACTCCATCTACGATTTTGACATTTTCCGCTACCATGCCGGCAGCAACCTTCAGATTGGAAATATCTTCCCCAAGGAGTACGCCAAAGGTTTCTACGAAGGCATGACTGCAGAAGGACAAAAGAATATCGTAAACCTGCTCAGGTGCGCCTGGGCGGGCAGTCAGAAGTACGGGGCCCTCGTGTGGAGCGGTGACATTGCATCGTCCTGGGGTGCATACCGCAATCAACTGTCTGCCGGCTTGAATATGGGTCTGGCTGGAATTCCCTGGTGGACCACCGACATTGGCGGCTTCCACGGAGGCAATCCGGACGACCCTGCTTTCCGGGAGCTCTTCACCCGATGGTTCCAATGGGGTGCGTTCTGTCCGGTGATGCGCCTGCATGGCGATCGTGAGCCGAAACCCGAAGGCCAGCCTACCGCCTCAGGATCTAACAACGAAGTCTGGTCCTATGGGGAGGAGGTGTACGAAATATGCAAGAAGTACATCGGCATCCGTGAAGAGCTCCGAGACTACACGAGAAGTCTCATGAAGGAGGCTCACGAGAAGGGCACTCCAGTAATTCGCACCCTGTTCTATGAATTCCCGGAGGACAAGAAGGCCTGGGACGTGGAAACCGAGTATTTGTACGGTTCCAAGTATCTCGTGGTTCCGGTTCTGGAAGCAGGACAGCGCAAGATTAGCGCTTATCTGCCTAAAGGCGCATCGTGGAAGCTCTGGGGAGAACAGAAAACCCACGAGGGAGGACAGGAAGTTGAGGTTGATTGCCCAATTGACACCATGCCAGTCTTCGTCAAGGTTTAGATTGTTTCTACAGTTCTATTTGAGAACGTGTGCGTTGGTTCCATCTACGTCAGCCTAGGAAGCCTCAAATTGACAAACTTCTTCCATTGCAGTTGCGTGACGTAGAAAAGTAAAAACACTGGAAGGAGTAAAAGCGACGGCTTTGGATTATCGCATCACCTGGATGAATGAACAGTTTACCGTTTCAACTGGTAAGACTGCTGGGCGCTTGCACATGTGACTTTGCTTCTGCCCGTTCTTCTCTTCTCTCCTCACCTCTTCTCTCACCTCTTCTCTCCTCAATGTATCCACAAGTTGACAGACCAGGAGTCATGTTTCCAGTGACATGCAAAGCACCAATATACGAGTCCAGATGTACTCAGTTCTGCCATTGATATTGATCAAATGAGTTCGGCGCAGGAGGCACACTAATAACGACTTCTAACGACTCTATCTACCGACAGCCTCAAGACTTCGCGTCTATAAACCATCGCTCCGACCTCGCAGTTCAGCACATGTCAGGACAAACGGAACCAGTAATCTAATTGCAGGCTTATTGCGGCTTCGGACTCTTTCTATCTTTTACAATGCAGCTAATACGGTCTCCTCAACCAACAGCTATCGTGGAAATCTATGTTCTGGCGCAGTTCTAATTTATTGATCCAACTGAGTAGTATGTCTCGGGCTCGATGTCCTGGATGAAAAAGGGGCCATGATGGTGACTACAAACGAACCATATGAGGGCGAGTAGCCTACATCCGCCACTTCAAAAGTCAAGACCCGATTGAAGTTGTGAATTTCAATGAAACATGAAGTATCGCGAAACATAGTCCGTCTGAGTTCAATTCAGAAGGGGACATGCTTTCCTTCTTCATGTCAATTCTGGCAATCCACTCCTGCCTTTTCTGTCTATCGATTATATCCTCTACTTTTCTGCTCTCTGGTTTCAATGTTACCTCACTGGTCCATCAATATCCAACTAACCATCATTATAGAAGCTTTTTGTTTATTCCACTATCGCGTTTTGACTGTTCAAGGTACAACCTCATCGAACATGCTCGGGCTTCTCTGGCCTGCTCGTCAATTATACGCAGATACCTTTCACGCAACTGAAAAACGACAACCCTTTCCATTCGTTCCTCTCAGTCCTACGACGCCCCCCGATTCAAGACTCACAAGGCCCTGGATTACCTCTCCTCTTGGAGCACTTATCGGCACAGGCTTAATTGTGTACCCCGAGCGTACAAACCAACCAGATCCGCCCAGTGAAGAACCGAGTCAGACAGCTCCACAACCTGAAAATGAATCGAATCCAAACAGTCAATCACCGGCTCAATCTGATGGTTCAGATTTCGAGGAAATACTAGATACCGTATACCCAGCCTTGAGCCATGAGGAGGCAAGTGCAAAATTGAAAACCGAAGAACAAACGCGAGCTTTTCCCAGAAATGGTAACGTCGGGTTAGTATCTCGAGTAGATTCAGTGAGAGTCGGCAGTAATGAGCCTTCTGAGGACGAATTCGCGCACGAAATCATTGACATGGGTGACCCCGAAGATTGGCATTTCTGGGGTATTTATGATGGGCATGGGTGAGTCGCTCGTTGTTCCTATTCACCAAATGATCTTCTTCAATCAGCTAATGCCTGACTGTTGTATAGCGGATGGGCGACTTCGGTCCTATTGCGTCGAACCTTGATTCCTAGCGTTGTTCACAAGATCAAGCAGACTCTGAATGAAGGGATGACCGGAGGTTCCTCGAGCATCTATGATGCTATCCAGAGCGCTTTTATTCAAATGGACAACAGAATCTCGAATGAAGCACTCGAGGCGATGGACATGGCAATGGATTTGGAGGGATACACGAAAATCGCATTCTCTCGCGCTGCCCCTGCCCGTTCAGGCTCATGCGCTCTCCTCGCTGTATATGATCCCAACCAATGTATGCTGCGTATAGCTTCTGTTGGGGATTCTCGCGCAGTTTTAGGCCGTCGCAAGGGGAAAAACAACCGGTTCGCCCTTATTCTTTCTACGGATCACAACGGATTTAACAGATCCGAGTACGATCGCATCATGAACGAGCATCCTGGGGAAACAGGAGTCATCAATCAAAATTCAGGCCGCCTCTTCAATCTGGCAATGACCCGTGCGTTTGGTGACCACCGCTATAAGTGGTCTATGGATACACTGAACCGTTGCTACGAACGATTTCTCTGGTCGCCACCTCCTGCGGACTATCTCTCGCCGCCGTACCTCACGGCAGACCCTGAAATAACTACTATGCTAGTCCGGGACGGAGACTTCCTCATTCTTGCGAGTGACGGATTTTGGGACAATGTCTCCAATGACGATGCCGTGCAGTTTGTACGCCACTGGATACATCGATACCCAAGCGAACTTCTACCTACGTCCGACGCCGAAGAGGAACGCGGGCTCACGCGCAGCTATAGGTTCAGCCCCAAGGACTATGCTGTTGAAGATGACAATGTTGCAACACATCTAGCCAGGAACGCACTCGGTGGGGGAAACTCGGAGATCTTCGAAACTTTTATGAGTATGCGAGCGCCCGATGCCAAGCTATATAGAGATGATTTTACGATTCAGGTTATTTTCTTTGGCTTTCATCCTGAGGATGAGAGGCTTGAATGATTGGTTTGTGTTTATGTTTTGCTCACACGCTCTTTCAACACTGCCCGGGACTTCATTACTATCTGATTTAGGAGCCGTAGCAGGCTATTAGGTCGATTAGACATTCATGCATTGTTTGAAGTGATACTCTCTATAGCGTTTGACTCGAGCAATTACTTATGGATTTGTAATCTCGGATATCGGTGTCCCATAGTCGAGGCCTCTAGAGACCAGAGCATTTTTTTAAGGTAGTGACTGCTAGTAAACCATGCCTACCTTTGCTTGATTGTCCCATCCTCTCTTCTCTCATAGCTGCCTTCTATTCGGGGAGGCTCGTCTAAGCGTTCAGGCGAAAACGGTCTAACCTTTCTCTCCTCCATCGCACATCTCTCTTTGCAAGACCGACACATGAGCCCTAGAGCTAGCTGTATCTGGACCTCGTTTCTAGCATTCCCCGTGTCCCTATCCAGCTCTGATTATCTGATCCGTATCGATACCGCGTAAGGAGCACTCGTTCTTGTGCTTGTCATGATGGTCATAGTCACGGTATTGGTCACGGTCAGGGAGAATAGATATTTGGTTTACTCGGCTCGACTTCCTAAAGAAGTATACGATAGTTGTTAGCTAAATATCCTTGTTCATGGTTGTTAATACCAGTTGAATTTGCTTGGTAGATGGTTCCTGTAAAGGGGACATGACAAGATGAGGTATAACTGACCGTGTCTAGATCTGTTTAGATCGAAGTGAGTAGCCGTCTTATCTTGTTGAAACCTCTTTGGTATAGAATATCAGGTCTTGATGGTCAGGGTCATAGACATGGTCAGGGTGATTTGTTGTATTTGGCTCGACTTCGACTTTTAGCCTGTGGTTCGGATTAGAGAGCTGTAGCATGGCTTGCTGTTCCTGGGTAGCATCTTAGGTGGTTTCTCGTTTCTCTGAGGTAAAATGTATGATGCTGAGTTCTTTTCGCAATTCGAACAAATGCATTCATCAAGTATCAGTAACCTAAGTTATATTTCGAAGGACATAAAAGCGTTGCAGACCTGTGCAGATAGTCAAGTCTGCTTGCATCGTTAGGTTCGTAGGAGCAGATTCAAGGAAGAGAAGTAACCAGCGCTTATCCAGTATAGGTACCTTGAACGAGGGCATCAGGGCAGTGCTAGAGAGGTACATGTACAAGGAACAGATGAATCTACCGGGAAACACAGACACGGTCCAATAATCGAATATCAGCTAGAAAGTCAGATCTGATCCTCGCTAGAGTCTGGCAATCTACAATATTATTCGTCTTCTAAGTATTCTAGTCTCTGAGAACCCGACAAAGTCCATTTCTTCAAGACACCGACTATGACGAAACCAGCTTACACAGAGCACACGCACAACACCCCCCAAACAAGAAAAAGAAAAAGAAAAAGCCTCAAAGACAAGAAATCCAGCGCATAAGGCGCCTGTCCACCCCCTCATTTCCCCATGAACGCCCGGTTCACGATTGATTGATAAAGAGAGAAAAGAAAAACAGAAAGTCAGGGTATGACGACTTCCTGCTGGCTAACCCACCAGAGAGGGAAACCAGAAACGGAGAAGGAAAAGGGAAAGGAGGAGGGGAAACGTCGGATTTCCAACGCAGTGCCTGGTCCTGTCCTGTCCTGGGCTGGCTTGGTAGGGTTTGAAATCGCTCGGACAAGGAAGAGGAAGCCCGTTGTCCGTTTGTTGTTCTTTTTTTTTTTCCTTTTATGAATCCTTTTCTCCTGACTTTGGTTGGCTTCTACTTCGGAGTGAGAAGGGAGGGTTCCATAGCATCATGTCGAGTCAGGATTCACAGCGTCGAGTTTTTCCCCTCCTCTGCTGGCTCTTTTCCCCCTCTTCCCTGTCCATTCTCTCTCTTTCTTTCTCTGTCTCTCTGATCCTCTTGCCCCCCTGTGACCAGTCCAATTCAATCCAATAAACGGACTTTGCGACGCGGACTGGCTACGTTCTTAGTTCCCCTCATTGCGTGGATGTAAGAGGGCCAGTGGAAGAGGGGCGGGGATACAAAGAACGAATCATCTCGTCTCGATCACCTTTTTTTCCACGATGAAAGGAATGCGGTGGCGGTTGCTGAGATAATAGTATTAATAAAATCATTCAGCATTTACTAATGATCACTGTGGTTGTTGCCACCGCTCAGGTCTGTTCAGGTCAGCCAGCTTCTTTCTTGATCTGTGAACTAAACTTCGTAGGCGTGCGTTATTTTCTACATAACTTTTCCTTTGTTTATTGATTTTTGTTTACTTCTTATTATATTTCACATATCTCAAAATATCTTTTTGGCCCTCCAATTTCGACCATCCCTGTCCGGATCTCGTGGATTCGATTCGTATCCCCTCAACCAACCCGCTCAGCCAAGCCCTAACCTAGTACAAGTACTGCGGGCAGATGAGTCTGACGAAACAGACTAGTTAGTTAGTGAGGTAGGGAGAGAAAGAATCGAGTCGACTCGACTCGGCATCCGACCAAATGCTATTGTAAGCAAGAGGCAGGGATGCGGGCTCGCGACAAGGAAGGTCGGAATCGATCCAAGGCTAGATCAATGACGACAACGACAGTGTGAGGAGTGTCGCTAGATACATACAGTAGGTACCAGTCCTTGAACGGAAGGAAGGACTAGAGACTACCTAGTTAGAATGTTAGATCGATCCTGTTCCTCAACTCCATTCCTCTTCCCCCGCCCAAGTCAAGTGTACTGTAAATCAGTACTTTTGTCCTCCTCATGAGGGGGGAGGCGGGGGCCAGAAAAAGAAAAGAAAAAGCAACTACTCCTACAGATGATTCACATCCATGATTTTCGATGGCGTTTTACGGATGGAGATCCCTTGGGTAGGTGAAGAAGCTCCATCAAGTTAGTGGTTAGTGCCAGCTGACTTACTCGTACTATGTGTATGATGGAAGACCGACTGCGTAGTGCTTACATTGGATGATTGGACCTCTATCATCGTCACGTCAAATGCAACAGATACATAACATATCGAGCAGGAAAAAAGAAAACAAAAATAATTCCATATATCAATAAATCTATATTGCGTACAGTATATCATAACAAAAAGCAACAAAGAAAAAGGAAACATACAAGCTCGGTACTTCTCGTACCGAGGTTTATCCCCTCTCCTCGGTTCAACTATGCGTACGGAGTATACAGTGGTTATGGCTGAATATGCAGTAAATCTTGCTGAAACTTGCATTAGTGTTTAGCAGTGGCTCAGCATTCAGCATTCAGCACTCATTCACATCACACATAGAATGTGTCGCCTCTCCCGGTCGAGTACGGAGTACTCCGAACACCAGATAAATAGATTCAACACAAGACAGACAAAAAAAAAAGAAAAGATAGAAAAACCAAATAGATAAAAATGCAGCCAACCATCTAGCCGCCTCCGTCCGCCAGCCCTAGTAGTTAGACACAGTACAGTAGATACCTACCACCTAGCTAGCTAGCTAGCTAGCTAGCACCCCTCCCTCTTCCCCGAGAATGTAGGCATGTACATACCCAGTGTACTAACTGCATATGTACCTCCTACAGTAGTAATCCGATCATGCCTAAATCCCGATCCCCTCCATAGTGCGCCATACTCTGTGCTCAACTACCAAAAGCCAAGTCCTTAAACCCCGGCAGATCAGGTATCAAGAGGCCGAGTGGACCCCGAGAGAACCCAGTGGAGCAGCAAGCAAGAGCGCGCAGGGATGTATTTGTATTTGCCTGCTTATAGCCTTATCTGGAGGTCGTGATCGACTGCACGTACTGCACGGGGGCGGACTTTTCAGGGGTAAGGCCGTAAGAACGGATGTATACATGAGATAGAGGGTTACTGTAGATAGATGGATTCGATTGCGTGAGAGTCTGAATAAGAAAAAGCAAAAGCGAATCCTTCTACATCGGGCAGGTACGTAAGTAAGGAATTGAATCCTTGAAGACATTCTCCTACACCTACATACTCCGTTCTTTTCAGGATGGAACAGGTCAATAGAAAAGGATAAGAAGTGCGAGGGTCCATATTCTAGTTTAGATTGACATGGCTTTCAGAGAGAAAAAATCAAAATAAAAATAAAGGACATACCAAAAAAAAAAAACAAAAAAGAATATCTAGCGTCCGTTTTAACCAGACATTTACTACTACACTAACTACAGAATAGATCGATCGAAATCTTCGGCAGGGCCGGTGAAGTTCGGGTCCCAAGATTAGTATCAACCAGGTCCGTAGACGACAAGAAGCGACGGGAAACACACACGAGTACTCCGTACTACCACCACCCTACCATTCATTGCTGGTTCTACCACCGCTGCCAAAAACCGTTGTGTCCAGAAACCTGGGATGGTCTAGATGGCCAGCTAGCACCAAAGAAGGAAGAGGAAGAAGGAGGGGGCCAAAAGAGACCTCCCTGAGCCCTCCTTCAACACCCTGAGACAAGAACATACCCTAGAAAAGAGAGACGAGTAAATACCATACCTACCCATGCCAGTACCATGTCCAGAACCAGAATACCAGACGACCCGCGTACGGGTCTGTAATCGAGTCGCAACGGCTCGTATCTGACAAGTCCACGTGGGTTTAGCAAGAACCCCTTGTGCCGGAGTGGTTTGTGCTTTGGCCTCTGCGGCCGAGTTAGTGGTATGGCGCGCGAAAAGGGCTGGTCCGGACGGCGACGGGCAGGTGTGTGTCCTGGACTCGTACGAGCCAGACCGGGTTGACGCATCCAAGCCTTCGATAGGTTGGTTGAGGTATGAATCTGTATGTACGGTATATACCGGGCATCTTCCATGAACGGGGACCATGAAATTACCCTACCCAGGTACCTATACAGGTATGGTTTTTACAATAAGTACCTTACCTACGGTATCAAGGTGTCCAGCATGACAAATACCCCATTCGGTAACGAAGGTACTCCCACTTCCCACGCAAGTCCCGTCTCATTGGAGGCTCGCTGATTCGCTCCCGAAGAGGAAATTGGCTTGAGTGTGCTCTCCAGACATCCTCCACTCTTTCCTG